TTATTGGCAATTCTACTTTCCAGTTTTGACCAAACACTGAGTAAATCATCGTTGACCTTTCTGTTCTCTCACAAGTTACATCTCATCCATTAGTAAGCCATGCCACCTCTATCAGATTCATCCAGAATTTGACTGTTTCTAACTACATTTCCTGTTACCATCCTGGATTAATCTGTTTTCCCTTGACTGGATTCATGCAGCAATCTTCTAAGTAATTTCCCTGCTTCTGTCTTGTCCCTCCCCTTCTGTCTGTTCTCAAGATCCAGAGGGACTCTGCTAAACTGAAAGTCAAACACAATCGGATCTCTCTCAGTCTCAGGCAGGTAGACCCAAATCCTCTCACAGGCCAGTGTCCTACACAGACCTTTCTTCTTACCAGTGTCCTCTGAGCTCACTTCATCCCAGCCATGCTAGCTTTATTGTTCCTCAAACACTAGGTATTCCACTTTCAGATTTTGTCACTCGGTAGTCCTCCAACCTAACCCATCTTTTCTTCAACAGCCACATAGTACCTTCCTTATTTTCTTACTTCTAAGTGTCTACTCCAGGCATCACCAGAAATGCCTGTGACTACTCTACCTAAACACCTGTCTGAACTCTTGCCAATAATCCCCAACTCACTTTCCTCCACCCCTTTTTTTCCCTTAAACTAACCCCCACAGACACAATCTACCTTGCTTATTTCATACTCTTCCTTCCCCCACCAGGAGATATCAGCTCCACAAACACGAGGAATTTCATTCACTTGATTCGCTGTCATGAACCTGTAGTGTTAAGAATAGTCCCTGGTGGCCCAAGCCATGGCATGGCAGGCTAAGCCTCCACCTATGGAGCTGGCATCCCATACGGGTGCTGGATAGTGTCCTGACTGCTTCACTTCCAATCCAGTTCTCTGCTTATGACCTGGGAAAGTAATGGAAGATGGCTCAAGTCCTTAGGTCCCTACACCCATTTAAGAGACCTAGAAGTTGTTTCTGGCTTGCAACTGGCTCAATTCTGGCTGCTAAGGCCTTCTGGGGAGTGAACCAGAGAATCGAAGACTTCTGTCTCTCTTCCTCTCAAAAAATCTTTCAAATACTGTGGATCCTCATTATTTTCTTACAACACAAGACCGTCGGTACAATGCTACTGCTTCATTCCTTTCTTCTACTCTTGGCATTATACTCCTTAAGAGCATCATTGTGAAGTCTCATGAATCCATGTACATTTAACAGGTACGCTAACACTAACCTTAGTACACAAAATACCAATTAAATCCAATATTAAAAGTTATTTTTAAATTTAAAAATAATTACAGTAAGAGAACTTCCATCCGGCTGCTTCACTCCCCATATGGCTGCAATGGCTAGAGCAGTGCCGATCGGAAGACAGGAGCTTCTTCAGGGTCCCCATGTGGGTGCAGGGGCCCAGGACTGGGGCCATCCGCCACTGCTTTCCCAGTTCACAAGCAGGGAGCTGGACTGAATTGCAGCAGTCACAACACCAACTGGTGTCTATATGGTGTGCTGACCCTGCAGGCAGAAGTTGAGCTTACCACACCACAGCACCAGTCCCTAAACTCGGTATCTTAAGGCAGAGACTCTTATAGAACACATATACTCACAAACATTTCTTTGATGAGTGAAAAACTTTGACATAATTAAATTTAACAGCTACTATACACTTATTAATCCATATTTTTACCTTAATATGCACCTAAAACATCACACTTTTTATTTATCTGCATATCTACACAAAAGACATGAAAAAATTACAAAGACTAGATATTACATACATCTAAAAATCTGGCTTTTTCCATGTATTTAGCCAACATGTTCAAGGCATTTTCACCATAATTCTACATAACACAAATTTCCCTAAATATCTTTATATCTTAAAATGTATAGTATCTGAAAAGCAAATAGCATTAATATTTTGATAGCAACACACAAAATCATTATAAAATCTAAGAAAGCTATCCCCCTAGTTCTAGGTACTTAAACACAAAGACCGTGGATTCAATCTACATGTAGTTTAATGTTTTTTTGAACACCTTTTACAGTTATTAGAGAATACTTTAAAAATTCTGGTCCCAGGCCTGGCACAGTAGCCTAGCAGCTAGAGTTCTTGCCTTGCAAGCACAGGGATTCCATATGGGTGCTGGTTCTAATCCCGGCAGTCCTGCTTCCCATCCAGCTCCCTGCTTGTGATTTGGGTAAGTAGTCAAATACTGCCCAAAGCCTTGGGACCCTGCACCTGTGTGGGAGATCTGGAAGAGACTTCTTGCTCCTGGCTCCAGATCAGAGCAGCTCTGACTGTTGCAGCCACTTGGGGAGTGAATCAGCACACTGAAAGTCTTCCTCTGTCTCTCCTCTCTGTATATCTAACTTTCAAATAAAAACAGATCTTTTAAAAAAAAAATTCTGGTCCCAAGCTCAAGTAGGAGAATTTATGTTCATCTCCTAAACTGTTTATATAGAGAATTCTAGGAACAGGAATCAGAATGGCAGTACCAGCTGAAGCACTTAAAAATAAATGTGTTGTCTTTAAAAAAAAAAGCCACTTATAGAAGCAGTTAAATATTATCCCAACAAGCATATGAAAGTACTACAAGTTCCTAAACATAGAGCTAACAGACATGGCTACTTTTGTGCAAAACAAAAGCAGGAAGTCTATGCAGACAGGCGTCTTCCAAATATTTCTGGAAAATGCATACTGTGAAGAAATTATGAATGGCTTTAAAAAAAATCTTTGGTTTGAAAGAGAGACAAGGAAACAATTGTATCAATTTGAGATGAGGGATAAGAAAAAAGATGACTCCAAGAGTGCTAGATTAGAGATACAAGTATTTCTCATATTGAACTTATTTTCACAGTCAGCAGAATAAATGCAAGCAAAAATATGACATACAAGCCTACAAGTCACCTTGGGAGATTAAGAAAATCAGACAACGCATGGGCAGGCACTTGGCCTGGTGGTTAAGGCTCACGCATCCCATTCTAGCGAGCTTGGGATTGGGTCCAGGCAGCAGGTGTTCTGCTAGGTGTGTCCGGTGAGGCAGTGCTGGCGGCTCCAGCTGGGTTCCTGCTACCCATGGGACACACCCAGATTGAGTTCCCAGCTCTCCCTGCCTGCGTGGGCACGCGGGGAATGAACCGGCACACGGAGTTCTGTCTCATAAACATTGTTTCAAAAGCTAATGCACATCCCCACAAACTTCTTGAAAGCCAGTCGCCTTTGGCAAAAAAGACAAGCAACAAGCAACACAGAAGAAGCCATGTCCTATGGCACCAACGGCGGCAATCCCGGACAACAGGAACCTTAGGGGAACAGTCAGCAGCTGCCAGACTGGCCGTGACTCATCCGCCACAACCTCCAGCAGCACCCATGCAGTCTTTTCCCAAGCACTGAACGGGTGAAGATCACTCAAGCCTTCAAAATCCTACACACCTGCACGCAACCCAACAGGCCGAGCGTCGGCAGGAAGGCACAGGCGCAGCTGCTGTGAGCAGGTGAGGCTAGCTTGCCTGCTACTTCCCGAGACCTGACCCATGGGGAAGAAGGGACCCCTGAGGGGCTTAGGGAGGAAGGCAAGAAACCCACGCCTTGAGGTGGGCCATTATTACAAGACGAACCAATTCTGTGTGTGCTTGCGCTTCAGCCAGCCATTTGGACTCTACCGGTACATATGCGCTGGTGAAACACAAAGAATCCTGGCTTGCGAAAAAACGAGAGGATTTATCCCTTGTCTTGCCAAAGGAATGCATTCAATGCAATCTCAAAGCACTCCAGCGGGTGTCGAAGGAAAGCAAATCCTTTCAAAAAATCACCTCCCTGTCCTATGCTAGGATTTCCATTTCTGCTTGACCGCTTCTTGCCTTACCGTTATCTGTCCTCAACCTTTAAACTCCCTCTAGATACACAGACACACAAGGCAGAATTCCTAGCTATGTGATTGCGATCAGAGCTTCCTGTCTACACCCAGGTAAGATGCTGCAGACGAAACGCCCCAAACCTGTGGACCACAAGTAAGGGAATAAGACAGAATAAGGAACACCAAGTTTATGTTTCAAAACCCACAGCAACACACACACGTTCCTCTGGAAGGAACAAAAACGCTGTGCTCGAGGCAATTATTAGAGGACTAGCACAATTTCTGGGTCTCCTAGCTTTGGCAAAAATCAGTTCTGACACAGTGACTGAATATGGCATTTCAAATATACCGCTCAGCCAAGACATTCAGACCAGCACTGAGACCAACTTCAAGATACTGCTTGAGAAAAACCAGAAATATCAAGACACACAAAACCCAAAACCACTACTGTGATTTAAGTTTAAAAAAAGAAACTGCAAACAAACAGGAGTATTCTAGTGAAGACGCAACTAGAGAACTGGAAAAAAAGTGGAGTCATTTTTAGCAGCTTTTTTTTTTCAGCCCAAACGGATCCCAAACAGCCTACAGGTGTGCGAATTTTAACATCCAAGGACTTAGCTCTTTGCTAAGAGAAAGTAACACAGTGAAACCTGAACTCAATAACGGCCTCAATGAACTCAATGAGAGGCCAGAGTCGTCCCCACTCCCCACCCGTGGCCTCCAGGCTTGCTGCACTTGCCTCGGGTCAATTCTCTTAAAGACTTTCCCCTCACTGGTGCTTCAATGCGTTTAATAACTTAAAACGTCTCCCGAGATGTAAACGAATAGAGTGCCACCAAAATAACATTTTCGCAGTTTCCGTGATTTTTTGATGGGGGAGGGGGAAGAGAGGAGGATGCAAAAATTCCAAAGGAACGGATCTCGGTCTCACTGCACCGATCCGAGACAGTGTCCCTACAGGAAGATGTGCGGGGTGCTAGCCTGCGGGACTGGGGACCGGACAGCTGCGGCTTCCTCTCCAGGGCCCTGCTCCCCGCAAGGGGGGTGGAGAGTCCAGACGCGCCCCCCAGGGTCGGCCCGCGCCCCCTCCGCCAGCGGCTGCAGGGGTGACCGCGGCCTCCACCTCCTCACCCCTTCCTTTGGGTACCTGATGATGTCGTCGCTGTGGCCCCGGTAGAACTTCTGCCGGTGCTCCCGCGGGCTGTACACCACGCCGACCCCCGCCACGAAGTACACGATCTCCTTGGCCGCCGTGTAGTAGAGGTTGTTGCGGCACTGGTGGCCCCGGTAGCCGTACACCCACTCGAGCCGCAGGTGGCAGCTCGGGGCGCTCCGGGCCGCCATGTCGGGGCGCCCACCCGGACGCTCCGGCTCGGGCCCGCGGCGGTGGGAGGCAGCGGCGGCTGCGGGGCGACGAAAGCCCTCCGGATGGCGGCCCGCACTTGCCGCCTGCTGCGTCTTTTAAGCCGCACCCGGCAGGTGCATCTCGTTGGTGCAGCGGCGAAGAACGCCGCCTCAGCCCACGGGCGGCAGGGAAACCCTCGCCTCGAGGAGCATGCTGAGGGCCCGGGGACGCCGGCGGCCGTCCAGTGGGTGTCCCAAGCCCTTCTGCCCGCCTCGGCTCGCCCAGGCCGTGAGCGGAGCCGAGCGGCGGCCCGCTTCCTCCAGCCTGCGGCGCCTCTGCCGCCGCCGCCCGCGCGCCCTGCTCCCGGCCCGGGTCACCTGCGGCGCTCGCGCCCCGCCGCGGCCTCGTCGCCACGGCGCACAGGGCCCGCGCAGCGCGCTCGCGACCCCAGCCTCGTGCCCGCCGCGTCCGCTCCGCCCCAGCCGGAGCTCGGGCTCCTCCGGTCCCCCGCCCACACCCTCCGCAGCCCGGTGCCTTCCCCGGGCGCGCGGGCCGCTGAGCCCTCGCCTGGCCACGCAGGGCCCACGCTGACCCCCTCGGCGACCCCCAGCCGGCGTGCTTGCTGGGGGAAGCACCGGCTGGTCCAGCGCTGGCCGTACGCCCGGCCTGGGTTGTATGGATTCCCAGAGAAGGGAACCCCAGGATGCTCACAAGCCCCATTTTCCTCCCCCTTCCCCAATACTTTGTGTGTTTCCTGCTGCCTAATGGGGCCCTCTGGCCCAGACATCGGATGGGAATAACGCCTGAATTCCTAAGTGCGTGTTTTCTTAGTTGTGTTGATGACCTCACAGCTGAAAGCAGTTTAGATCATAAAGTGGCAAGGTCGGCTCTATTTCCCAGTTGCAACGTACCTGGTGTTGTCTGTTTTTACTTTACTTACTTATTGAGCATCATCGATAACGCTTCATTAAAAGAGACTACTTGCGTGGTGATCCTGAAGTCAGGTGGCTCAGGTGGAATGCGCTTGCACTCCTGGCGGTGTCATTGCCCTTTCTACTCAACCGCCAAGTCTGTCTAAGTGATCTGAAGGGTTCAGCATTGTGGCATAGTGTGTTAAAGTGCTCCGAGCAGGTTCTAGTCCTGGCTGCTCCACTTGCCGCCCAGCTTCTTGGAAATGGCTGGAGTGCTTGGGCTCCTGCAGCTGCGTGGGAGGTTTAGGTGAAACTCCTGGCTCTTGGCTCCCCTTCCCCCCAACCACCTCCCCACCTTAACTAGTGTGGCCATCTGGGGAGTGAAATAGCAGGTGGAAGAGCAATCTCTCTTTATCTTCTTGTCCCTTTAACTCTGCCTTTTAAATAAATAAATCCCTTTTAAACCCTGGAAACCCACAATGAAGAAGTCGTATGTTCAGGGTGACAATCACAAGGTTTACAAGAAGTATCTGTCCATGATACAGCGATGTGAACTGTTGTTTAACAATTACCCTTCTGGCCTGGCGTGGTGGCCTAGAGGCTGGAGTCCTTGCCTTGCACGCGCTTGAGGGCTTGAGCCAGCCTCCACTGCTTTCCCAGTAACCTGGATTGGAAGTGGAGCAGCTGGGACCCATAAGGGCACCTATATAGGATGCCAGCACCACAGATAAAAGATTAGCTTGCTATGCCCTGGAGCCAGCCCCTCCATTTTGGATTGTGACTTTTAATCTACATGTAGTCTAAATGCAAGTGAAGAAGGACCATCTCGGAGGAAAGCATCGACACACATGCCGTGAAAAGTAAACACTGAAGGAGTTTAAATTCTCAGCAGAATCTGAAAGCTAAAAAGATCTGATTAAATTTCTGGCACCTGCTGTAAGGACAAAAAGAATCAGACTCACAAAGGAGTCTCTGGACAAAGATACCTACAATGTCTCTTCAGCAGCTGCAGGGTTTGTTTTTAAAAATAAGAATATGTTTGTTAATGTTTGAAAAGATGTGACATTTTCTGGCTATACACTTATGATGTGTTAATTACTGGTTATGTGTAATTTTATGAAGACATAGAAGAGTCCTTTTATGTAGGATATAGAAGAATAGGAAGTACTTTTGTGTGTTCCTGATTTTTCACACAATGTCTTATGGATCCCTCGACACACATGTAAGTACTCACATGATAATATTGAACTTTAATTTTCCATTATCATATTTTTCCACTGCAGTGTTTAATGACCCAAGGGTAGAGTGTGAAGCAAAAACATGCTTAATGAAACTTTTCTCAACTGAGGAGTCAAGGCCAGAAGGGATGCTGTGACACAAAGGGGACTAGAAAAGGAGTCATTCATAAATACGAGAGGAAGAAGAACCAAGCTGTCCTGTCCTTTCCTATCACAATGACATATAATCCATTATTACTAGTGTCACATCAGAAATATCAAGCTTTTATTGCTAGATGAGATTCCATCAGCTTTGTCTTTTGAAAGTTAATACAAATACAGATATTGGAGAAAGGACCCCCAAATTCTACAGATTAACAAGTGGATATTTCTTAGGCATTTGAAACATAAGCTACAGCACCTCCTTTGGTAATGCATTTCCTGAAATTTGATTTCCTGGTATGGAGTTTTAAATACTTGGAATAGTTTAAAAAATCAAGCAGGTGATTTCTTCGTTGGCTACTGCTAGTTACACACCAGACCTATGCTAGGTGATACCCTTAGTCTATAAGAGAAATAAAGGGCAAAGCACAAAAACCAGAATTCACGCTGTTCATTCTAGCTAGTAAATGCAGTCAAGTTAGGAATAGTGTGGATATTTTAACAAATTGTCCATTAAAACACATCATTGACACACTGTTAGCCTATTTTATGCACAGTATAACACAATGCCTGGCACTTCAGCCGACACTCTATATTTTTTTTGTCAGCAATAAATATAAAAGAGAACATTGTATAGTCACAAAATAATTCTGATATTTAATGCCATAATAGTCAGAACTTCTTCAGCTCTATATGGCAAAATGTACAAAATTCTACATGGCAGAAGACTAGGCAAAATGACTTGGTGGGGGAGAGAATTTTAGTATTTCATTAAATTGAAAAGTCCTAGAATGGCACCAGTGGACTTGGGTCTTAAGGCTTAAGCGATACTGTCAGAATCAGGACATCACATTTGACTCATTTTTATTTCGGTTGACTCCATTGCTAGAGCAGCCAAATAGTAACTAGAGGACCAGTCGTACCATCCTATTCTTTTAGTAATTCCTATGGAGAGAGTTTTTCTCAGAGCTCCCCTGGGAAACCACCAGACTTCAGTCATATTGTCTGTGATTGGGTGACTTGAAGTATGGGCCAGTCTTTAAACTGTGGAGTAACACCAGTGGGAGAGGATCTTTTCAATAAGAAGGGTTAGATAGCAGCATTGGCCACCCAGGGCTAACCTGGCTGCTTTAGCATTCCCTAATCTCCCAACACACCAAACCAGATATGCAATTCAATATCAAACAGGTGTCTGGTAGATGAATGTAGTAACATCAACACCGGGCTTCTCCTGACACTCTCCTGTCTCCTTCTTCCCACTAGTTGACGTTCACCTCCTGGGGAAATAGACTTCATGCCCACACTTCCAAGTTGCATCACTCAGTTTCCTCTGGGTCTCAGCTGTTGGTTCTCTATGTCCCAATTCCCATAGTGACACAGTCAATTGCATTGCAAGAGAGGAATCTTACTCGGTCCCTGGGAACCTGTCTGCTCTTTGTCCTGGTGGGGAAAAAGCTATTTTTATTAGATGGACACCAGGCAAATCTGATACTCTCTTTGTCTTTTGATATTGTTCCATACACAAATATCCTTGAAAAACATATTGCACAATGGCAAGCCATTGCTGTTATTTATTTATTTGAAAGAGTTACAGGAAGAAAGGGAGAGACACACTTGGAGAAAAGGCAGATTTTTCCATCCTCTGGTTCATTTTCCCAGGGACCACAATGGCCAGGGATGAGCCAGCCTGACGTCAGGAGCCAGAAGCTTCTTTCCATGTGGGGGGCAGGTGCCCAAGCACTTGGACCATCTTCTGCTGCTCTTCCAAGGCTGTGAGAAGTGGAGAAGCCAGGACATAAAACAGCACCCATATGTGATGCTGCTGTCAAGAGCAACAGCTTTACCTGCTATGTCACAACACTGGCCCCCACAGTCTGGATTTTTTTTTTTAGGATTTCGAGGAGGGAGAGAAAGATATCTCATCTGTTGTTTCACTTCCCAAGTGGACACAACTGAGCCAATCTGAAGCCAGGAGCTTCTTCCAGGTCTCCCACGCAGGTACAGGGTTCCAAGGCTTTGGGTCATACTCTACTGCTTTCCCAGGCCACAAGCAGGGAAATGGACTGGAAGTGCAGCAGCTGGGACACAAACCGGTGCCCATAAGGGACCCTGGGGCTTTCAAGGGAAGGATTTAGCCACTGAGCCATTGCGCAGGCCCTGGAATCTTTTTTTTTTTTAATGGTAATACTCTAAGCAAATCAAGTGCACATCTAATTTGCTGCCCTCATGTACATGTATATGAATATTTTTGTGGTAGATCAGAATAGCAGGTAAGGATATAAGAGTATTTTGCATAAAGCATTTTTTAAAATTAGAGCTTTTATTGCACATTTTAAGTATTTGTAATAGGAGTCTATATTTGACACATGAAAGGGAGATTTTGGTTTAATTGAACTGTTATCACATTAGCTAAAATATCAGGCCTATTTTTCTTTTAAAAAATCATTTTGAAAGAATCCACCATGGCCCCTTGCCACCAGAGTAAAATAGGCATGTTTTCATATAGCATTCAATCACATCAGGGTAAGATGGAGTCAGAGGCGGTTGTCATATAAATAGAATTGATATCAGAAGGGTTCTAGCTTTCTTCAATGCTTTAAAATTAATTCATTTTTAGACCTCAGCATCTGATTTTCAGAGTGCAAGAAGCTTGAGAAAAAGCAATTGAGTGTAATCAGCTCTCCTTATATGCTTCGTTTAAAAGTGTTCAGGCTGTCTTGTATGATCTGAATCAGAAAGCCTTGATAAATATTCCTAAGAATGCCTAGGTAGATCACCTTAGTGAACGTGTAATTGCCTGTGAAATTCAGACTTTAAACAAGCAATTTTAGAATGAAAGGGGATGCATAATCCTTGCATTCACTAAAATTTTTGCCACAATAACAGGTGAGAACTTCATTGGAGAGCTACAAGAGGAAAATAGATCTTGGCAGATGGTCAATAAGTTAAGGTTAATGGAATGTAGCTCAAGTGCAGAAATTGAGGGATATTTTCTTCATTTTCATGGAAGTCACTAGTTCATAATGCTTTGGGATGTGGGGTTTACTGAGGCAAATAGCAGAGCATGTCTCACCAGGTAACAAAACATCATTGCTTAAGTACTTGAAATACCAGTAATATTGAATTGCGACCACTTTACAGTAGTTTTTCTGTGAATAAAGTTCACCTAAGGTTGAAGATGAGAAGAATGTGAATAGCTACAGAAAGTAAAGCTTTTGATCTACTCACAAATATCGACCTCTATCAATGGCACTGACTAGACAAGGCAGAAGGAGTATATTTCGTATATGCTAGAACTAGCACACAATGATTCACAATACAAAACAAATTGTGAGACTAACAATATAGATGTATTTTTGTACATAGCAATTTTCTAGAAAGACAATTACCTGCAATTGAGAAGTAACAATGTTGGCTCTGCCTTCTCAATAGTCAAATCTCTTAATTCTGTTAACTGCATTGTCTGGAATGTTCTAAACAACATTAAATAATAATAATAATAATGCTAGCATAGCATATTCCATATTTGGAGTCGTCACCCTGCTCGTTACATAACTGCAGCCTTGACAGCTTAGGAAATGCCTGCACAGGTAGGCAATCAATGAATGCTTGTTGATAAATAATAAATTTCCCCCCAAAGGATTATGTCATGGAGACATGTGAAGTGTCAAGGAAATCATGTGGAAAGAGTTGAGTACCAAAAAATAATGTGGCTTGCAATATTGAAATTATGCTTGTAATATCTATTATATTCTGTATGCTACATTCTATTCATGTATCTATTCCATGCAAACGCTCACCAAATTGCAAGAGTATTGTTATAGTGGAGAAGGATTATCTGGCAAAACAGCTCCTGGGCACTTTTCTTCCTAAAGCTTTGGGTACCTTCCCACTGACACTTATAATAAGCATGATAATATTGTTCTTTGGTCCTTCAGAAAGCCAACCAACAAAACGCTTGAGCATCCCAGGAAACTGTCGCCGTGCTGTTTGTGTTTATTGCTCCAGTTTTGTTTTAACAGAACCGCTTCCATCTCTCGGTAGCCATTGATTTTGGCTTTTGCCTTGTCTTTGGGATCACGCTGCTAAAGTCACGTTTTGTCTCCATTTCAGTTCTTTGAAGAGCTGCTTGATGATATTGATCCCACTTGTTTAACATTTCCAGTGAAAGCTCTGGCCTTGTCTGCGGCTGATCTGGCACAACAGTGTTGGCACTCACAGAGCAGTGAGATTGTTACACTCTTCGATTTTCAAGGTTGTCTAGGCTGAACCCACTGAGACGTCTGTAATGTTGCCTGCTGCTTCTGCTATTGGTCATTAGTCCTTTCTCATTTAGGGCGTGGACAGAATGGATTTTTTCCTCACAATTGATGTGGATGGTCTGTGGGCTTCTTTTTTTTCCCTATTTTTAAGATGTATATATTTATTTGAAAGGCATTGTTTCACACACACACACACACACACACACACACACACACACACACAGAAACGTACCATGCATAGATTCACTTCCTAAATGGCCACGCAGTCTAGCTTGAGGCAGGCCAAGTCAGGAGCCAGGTGATTCCTCTGAGTCTTGTACGTGGGTGCAGGGGCCTAAGTACTTGGGCAATCTTTTGCTGCTTTCTCATGCACTAGGCGTTCAATCAGGGCTGTCATCAGTCTGCTGAATGTATTTGTTCCATTGCTTTCTTTGTCGTATTTCCTTGTCACTTTGTAAGATTTAAAACCATTTTGAGGGGCTGGTGCAGTAGCACAGCTGTTATGCTTGCGATGCTGGTATTCTATATGCATATCAGTTTTTTGTCCTGGATGCTCCACTTCCAAACCTGCTCCCTACTAATAATGGCCTGAGAAAAGAAACAAACAAAAAGGCCCAAGTATCTGGGGTCCTGCCATGTGTCACGTTGGCATTTAAAGTCTCTCTCTCTGTATGTATATGTATATTTATTTATATTATATATATATATATATATATATATACATTTGAAGGTGGGTGGGGAGTGTTTTTATCTGCTTCTTCTCTCACTGATTACCTGAAATGGATGGAACTGGGTTGAAGCCAGAGCCAGGAGCTAGGATCGTAGTCCAAGTCTTCCATGTGGGTGGCAAGAACCCATCACTTGTGCCATGACGGCCCCGGCCAGAGTCGGTCTTGATGGGAAGTTGAAGGCAGGAGCTGGAGCCAGGGCTAGGAAATGAAGCGAAGCATGTCGTGTGGGAAATGGGTGACTTAAGCAGAGGCTAAATGCCTGTTCCTGGTCTTTGATTTTAAGCTGCAGAGATGTCTAGTTGCTGGAGAATAAAGGATACGGATCGGTGCACTGGGATCTTTGTGGCACTGAGCCTCTTCAAGGGAGTCAGTTGTTTCCCAAGGCACCATTTTCTCCAGGAGGAAAACAATCCTGGTCTTTTTTTTTTTTTTTTAAGATTTATTTGAAAATCAGAGTTACACATAGAGAGGGAGAGATTGAGAGAGAGATGATTGAGATCTTGTCTTCACCGATTCCTTTTTGAAATGCATACAATAGCCAGGGCTGGACTAGCTTGAAGCCAGGAGCCTAGAACTCCGTTAGGGTCTCCCACGTGGGTGGCAAGAATCCTAGGCCAGGGGCTGTTCTTGGATGCTTTCCCAGGCCATTAGCAGGGAACTGGATCGAAAGTGGGGCAGCCTGGATACAACCAAGTGCTCATCTGGTGTTTCACTGCTACAGGCACAGGATTAGCACGCTATGCCACCTGGCCAGCCCCAGAGCATCTGTGGTTTTAAGAACTCTCTACAGAAACACCAAACTAGTCTTCTTAAAAACTGACAAAGTCAGCATCTTGAAGTCTAAAAAGCTGTCAGACCAGAGTAGGTGAAGGAACTAGGGTGTCGGAATTTACGGTGGTATCTTCAGTGAGATCTTGGAACCGAAGTTTAGAAGAAAACTACTGACTACCCCAAAGGCTGAAGTGGATAGTCGTGTATCAGCACCTGTTTCTTAGCTGTGACAAATGTGCCGCAGTAATACAGTACCGTGTTAGCACTAGGGAGACTTGGGGGAGGAGTACATGGGAACACTTTTCCTTAAACTTGAGACTATCCTAAAATAAGTTTAAAATATCCACGTTAGAGGAAGCCAGCTTTGAGAATCACTTGCATAAGAATCTGTTTACATCGTGCCAGGACAGGAAAAGATTGTGTGAAATATTGAGCTCAACTGTTGATGGCCGGCGCATATGTTCCTATAACCTGAGCTGCACAATTACCATTTCTAGAAGCACTTCCAGGGGACACACAAGTAGACTAACTGTAATCAACATTCTTGTATAGATATATATATATATATAAAAAAACACATCGATACAGACTGTTTTCTACTTTAGAAGAAACTCATTCTATGTTTAGAAATGAGTTTCCTTTAAATATAGGAAAAATATAAATAAATGGATTAAAAATATGCTGTATGTTTTACCATCCTAGTGGTCTGAGAAAATTGTGAATGATTTCACTCTGCCAAGAGCTGTTGCTAATCCTTCTCCTGTTCTTCTTCTTCTTTTTTAAATAAGGGAGACTTAGAGCTACTCAGGACATCATGAAGTATTGGGTTAATTTTTTCTCACCTGTCCCTCCCAGAGATCCCTGAGTTTTCCATAATGAAGTCTACGTGGATTAATCTCACCACATTCTTGTCTTTCTAACCATTGCCTTCCAAAATATTTGCCAACTACGTAAATCCCTAGAGGAAAGTCTGCCTCCTACTTGAAGAAAGCACCTTGCACAAATAAGCAGGGACCGAACAGCACGTGCCTGGATGACAGTTTCCTAAAACTTAAAAGAAAAAAATTTTGTTTGCATACATTATCTATTTTGGCGAAAGAAAAAAAAAAGTCACCAAAAAATTGGAACTCCAAGTCTCTACGCATTGTTGAACTAGCCAACGCTATTAGCAGCCTGTTGCCAGCCAGATTCCAGAGCCAGTCCAGCTCCCTAACAGTTCCACCAGACGTTAGGAAAACCATTCCTCTTCTGTGAGCCTAGCTCAGTCTTCTCATCTGTGTAATGCATGGACGAGATTAAACGATCGCCAACGTCCAGCATGGCCTGGACATTGGGCGGGGTAGTACTGGTGAAGAAGCTGTTAATATGCCAGCTTCCGGAATGGGCGGAGTGAGAAGGATAGAAAACAGAGAAGGCAGAGCGTTCGGTTGCTAGGCAACAGCGCCTCCTGGTAGACGGAAGACCCCAGATAAAGGCGTCTAAATTATTGCCTCTTGATTTACACCAGACGTCTTCTAGACATTAATAGAATCTGTGACCTGTACAGTTGCCCCCCCTTTTTTCCCTTTGCAGTCGACGTATGGCAATCGCCGTAGCGGAAGTCTGCTCGCGGTGGTTTCTTATGTTTCTGTTCTCAGGCGCGACACGGGCACCTCTCTCTCCAGCAAAGCCCAGTCTCCAGGGCTGGGCAGAGCCCATGGCCGCGGGCTCCTTCCTTGCTGCCCACCGCCCTCTCCGCCGTTCCCGGCCCCGGCCCCGGGTGTCCGCGGGCCGCCATGGGCCCCGAGATGGAACCGCTGCTCCTGGCCTGGAGCTATTTCAGGCGCAGGAAGTTCCAGCTCTGCGCCGATCTGTGCACGCAGGTGCTGGAGAAGTCCCCCTATGACCAGGTACCCTGACGGCCTCATCAGCCGAGGCTGGTGACTCTGGGGGATGCCCGGTCCTCGGGCGGGAAGGACGGGGAGGTGGACCCCAGGCTAGCCACCTGCAGCAGGAGCCCTCGGCGCCGTCCGCGCGGGTCCGCGCGCTGACAGCATCCGTGCCTCTAAGTGCCCCTCAGAACTCCGCATTTCCGTCGGTGAAAAAGCCTGATAAGTCATTGATACTTACACAGGGATGGGCTCAGCGTGTGTTTTAATTCATTTCTAAAAGAAGAAAAGAAGTGTAAGCATCCATTTGTGAAGCGCCACTCCCTCTTTTGGATCAAACACGTGATTCTGGTACCTCATGGCCTACCTAGTGCAGCTTGAGGCTAATACGCAAGTTATGGGAATGAGAGAGTATGGGAGGAGATAGATTTATGATTAAATAATGACCTGAGCATAGTGAGAGTGAGATGCTGTCGTCCTGCTGGTAAGCGGTAAGGCCCGATAGGCAGATCTTGGAAGAAGATTCGAGACTAGAAGTAGAGCTGTCGTGGTTTATTCTAGTAAATGCAGAATATCCCCCATGCTTGTTGCCCCCCAGCTTTTCCTTCTAATAGCGTTGTCCTGGAGATGTATGAAAAAGGGGAAGAACTGGGGGCAAGTTATGAAAGCAGAGGCCTGGGAGGGAGCATTTTGACTTGGTTCGCTTTGGTGCCCAGCCGGCAGAGGGGTCATCACCCGTTGGACGGCACATCTCCCCTAGCACAACCCAGTTAATGAGGGCGCCGAGCCGGCTTATGTTCATGTTGGTTCATGTTCGTGAGTAAGACCATGTTTCCAGGTGGGTTTCTCAGCACGCTGCTAGTAACAAATCAAAGGGAAAAAATGGTTTACCCTCTAGGCACCTTGTGACTCCTGAGGGTGTGCCAGGCTCAAACCAGGAGCCAGGAACTCCAGCTGGCTGTCCTGTATGGGGAGCACCTGCTGGAGCCACCACCTGCTGCCTTGCTGGGTCCTCATTTCCAGGAGTTGGAATCAGGACCAGTGTCATAGCTTGAATGCAGATGCTCAGATCCGAGGTACAGCCATCCCAAGTGACAGTTTTAACTATCTAGGCCAAATAGCTGCCCCTCTGGTTATTCTCAATTCATTTCAGCTTTTTAGAGTCAGCTTAGAAATTCTGCCTCGAGTGTTTCTTGTAGTTATGGGCACTGATGTTTCCTAAAGGACTTGGTTGGGTATTGGTGGAGGGCTTCTCAGTCTGTGAAGTGCCAGCTGAGACGTGATGACAGTGGAGCAGGATGCCTTCAGCTCCCCAGGGAGCTGGTTTATCTTCATGCACTCGGATCCTCCTGGACATTTACTGAGGCTTCTGCAGTTTAGACTGCGATTGTAATGGTCATTCCGGTGCTGCCACACTGGATTGAGTGGTAGGAAAAGTGACTTGGAAGCAATTCCCAAACACCTCGAAGACCAAGGAAATCAAAGTATTGCTTCTGAGTGTCAAATATTCTTGCTTTTTTTTTTTTTAATTTTCCGCAAACATAAGATCATTTTTCTTTTTAACTGTTGTCTCACCTTTGTTTTTGCTTGTTTTTTCTCCCGGATGCAGAGACCTTCTGATTTGATTTTTGTTAATCTTATAAGCTGGTCTGGGCACTGCAGAAACACAGCATGTTGGGCCTGATCCATCAGCCTATTGAGGTGAAACCCACCTACAAGGCTATTTCAGCTGGGTTGATTTCCCTTAGGTTCTCTGGGTTTTGTTTATTTTCGTCTCTTTCAAAAGTCAGAATAGTCAGAAAGCAATAATACACTAGGGAGAAGCAGATTTTCTTAGACAGAATGTATTGGATATATTTTGAAAAAAAAAAGATGTATTCATTTCAATTGGAAGGTCCGATTCAGGGAGAGAAGGAGAGACAAAGATTCTCTCCTGCTCACTCCCCAGGTGGCAGCAACAGCTGGAGCTGAGCGGGTCTGAAGCCAGGAGCCAGGAGCCTCCTCTGGGTTTACCACGCAGGTACAGGGTCCCAAGGCATTGGGCAATGCTCCACTGCTTTCCCTGACCACAGCAGGGAGCTGGATGGAAAGTGGAGTGGCCGGGACACGAACCTGCACCCACATGGGATGCCGACACATGCAAGGAAAAGACTCCAGCCATTAGGCCATTACATCAGGCCCTGTATTAGATATTTCAAAAGTGCATTTTATGTGGCTACAGAAGGACTAGAGGGTAGGTTGAATATATTGATAGAGTGTTTGGTAAGAGGGAAAGGTTCCTGAAAAACATGGATTCAGAGCTGTTCTTCCCAGACGCATAATGGTTAAGGGGGCAGAGAGCATGGGCTGTAAACATGGATATTAATGTTCAGATGTTAAAGAGTATTAACTGGTGAATTTATTACATTGCCCTATTTTTTAGTATAATATATTAATAGTCAGTTGATAGTGAACATTGCATTTTTTCCCCCAAATGTTCCTGTGTTTGAACCAGTGAGAAGTTGCAGGCTGTCCCAGGAGCAGGTGCAAAGCAGTCCTCCAGGAGACAGCAGGATGACCTAGAGGGAGCGCTTGCCCCGGCGACCCAGCAGTGATTGTCCCGATTAGTTGTGTAATCTGATTACTGTTCTTTGTGTTCCATATGCCAGATTTATCGCTTTGAAATAAGTCCTCACTTTTTTTTTTTTTTTTGCTCCATTGTAATTAAGTAGTTCATATAACTTGGATTTTTTTTTTCAGGCTGTGGAGTTTTTAACAAGACAGTGTGCTTTTGTTAATGGGGTAGGTTTCTGATGATTAAAATCAATGAGCCTGGGGAGGAGAGCTTTGATTTTATATCAGAATGGGAACTAGTATTTCTCACATTCTCCTTGCCTGCCTGCAGCCTGTGCCTATACCAAGAGGTCACAGAGGAGTGAGGGTTCTTGTGAGTTGAAGGTGGAGAGAAAGCTGGAAATCCCTGGTTTTGATGAAAGATAGGGGACCAGGGTTGCCCAGTAAGCTGTATGTCAAAATTTGTTTGAGAAAGTGATCCAAATCAAAACACATCTTTCTGTATGGCTGATTGGCCTCCTCCCTGTGGGCAGTTTGTTTTCTGAATTTGCCTTCTGGCTGAATTCTACAGAGCATGTTCCCATTTGGCTGCTAGATCACTTGATCTCCCCAGTCTTCCAAAATCCATCATTTCCATGTTCTCTTACTTTTTTTTTTTAAATCTCCCCTACTTACTGCATCCTGAATAACAACTTGGCAGTTTCAAGCAGTACTGAGTCAGCTCATTAGCCAGGGTGAGTGTTGGTGACAATTAGTTGCATTCAGAATGATCAGGGGATTCAGTTCTCTGAGGCGAGTACAGCAGTCCAAGAGAAAGCTAAACCCGGGGGAGCAAAGAAGGAAGCAAGCTTATGAACTCAAGTTGATGCCAACAAGACTTTGGGTGGTTCTCGGCAGGGACACTCTGCTCACTGTGTCTTAACCCACGTTGAAGGGGGCTCGGAGGGGAGTTTTAGTTTCACCTGCAGTAACCGGGAGTCAGTTCTGCGTTCTGAGAAGCGGAGTGATAGGTGGATTGGTGCTTCTCTGGTAACCTGGTATTTGGCTAATTGTAATATATGTGAAAGAATGCTGACAATTGTGTGTGTGTTTTAATGGATGGTTTTATTTTGAGTCCTTAGAACTATTCCTAAGGCGTAGGCACATTAGCTACAATTTGAGAGGGAAATAAAGATTGCATGACTTGTTCAAGTTCGTAGAGCTAAGTAGTTCCCTTATCAAGACCAGGTGAATTGACCCTAAGACAAGGTTGAGCTTAATACCCACAGAATTACTTCTGTGGAACAAGTGAACTTACCTGTGGTTCCCTACAAGGGTGGATTCATTTAAATCACAAAACTGTAACTGAGAAAGGCCCAGAGAGAGCTGAAGTGATTTTCCAGAATGGGACTTTCCCTCTCTGAGCACTGAACCCTGGGAACCCTTCTCCTTCCTAGTCCTACGGCAGAACTCTCCAAATGAACCAGGTCTGTCCTTGCTCTCCGCAGAGCCCCCAGGAGCCTGCTCACCATCCTTGCTGTCATCACAGATCCTGAGAAGCACATCCTCCTGTCCAGGAGTGTTTAGGTTCAGACACTAGCTCTACAGCTCGACCCCAGAATTTTCTCATCTGTAAAGTGGAGTTGATGATATATAATTACTTCCAAAGGTCATTGGGAGGTTTTTGTTAATATGAGGCCGGTGATCAACAATTTTAGCTCCTGCTATTGTTGTCTCCCTAGGGACAGCATAGTACTTTGTAGAGAGTCTTCAGAACAATGGAATTAAAAGATAAGCTTCTTTTGATGCAAAATAGTTTGAAATTAGACATAGTTTTTTTTCATAATATTAATTTTTCATGAACTTCCTGAAAAACCCTAATATTTGCAATTAGGATTCTGTCACTTATCTATTTTCTGAAAATATTGTTGGTAATTTTGAAAGCATTTATATTTGTGTAGAATAGAGGGGCATATATTATTTGAATTTTGCTTCTCCTCAATGTTTTAACTACCATAACTTTATTTTTGAATGTATGGAAATGATGCCTTGATAGAGTTTTAAAAAATCATTCTATTTACTGAGGTATTGTTTTTATTAAACAAGTAGTTGTGGTATCTGTTGTGCTGTAAATGAGGATAGATTACTTGGAATTTTCTGATTCTAGAAAAATACACTCTTCAATGTGTACTAGTTTAATGGAATTCCTGAGCACATTTGTAGAAATACAGCTAACAACTGAATCTGTTTTGAATGAGTTAACAATTTGCCTACAAATAGTCATTGACTTGCTCTGAGAAACTGAATTTCTTAAAAAGTGTTTACTGCCGTCTTCATGCTTCCCAGGAGCCAGGTCCTGAATTGCCAATGTCTCAGGTAAAGGTTTAGCTGCAACCTTTAGTTTAGAGAATACTGGCTTAGTTGTTGCGGTAGATTAGAAGGTTCCCTGTAGTGTTATAGAATTAGCTGTGTCTCCCCGTTTTGTACCTTCTTAGATAAACAAACTATTGTTATTTCCAATACTTTGGTTTGCATGGGTAGCTTTGTAGAACTAATGTCGTGTATTCATTAAGAGTTGGCAGTTAAATAGGAACGACCAATGATGACCAGAAGGATGAGAAAAAAGTAAATGCAGGAAGGACAGCCCTAGGCTTGGAAGGGCAGGTGGGGAGTCGGCAAAGGCAGGTGTCTGGGACATGCCCTCTGACGGTTTGGATGCGAGGTGGGTGCTGAGAGATCCACCCCTGCTCAAGACAGTCTTGCATTTAACTCAACTGGCAGCTCTAGGTAACAGGAGTTTGCTACCGCGAGGAACCGTATCAACTTGGTTAGAGATGGGAACAGCCAGAGAGACCTGCTAACTGGAAAAGCCTCGGAGGAGTGGACTGGGAAGACACCCTGCAAGAGATGTGGACAGGGGAATGTGAAGTGAAGCTTTTAGGCCGGGAGGGTTTGCAGGAAGCCTGTGAGTGAGCAGAGGGCTTGTGGAGGGAGGGCTGAGAATGAGCAAGCTTGCATCTTGCCCTTCCAAGTAACTTAGCATGCTAATGGTCATTCTTAGGTAAATAAGCAATTTGAAATTCATAGGGGATTTATAAGTAATCATCAACCCTTGTAGATTAGAAAGCATTTTATAAAGTAATCATAGGGAAATCTGTAATATTAAACAAACACCATAAAAAGGCTAAAACGCAGCACTCTGATCTCTAAGTGGATGGTATATGTCATTTGGTGTTCATAATCTTGATTTATAAACTGATAGATGGGGAGAAAAAAGCCTATGATGTTTTCCTATGTGATACATGTACGAATAGTTCAAGAAGGATCTAACCTATAAATTAATGTCATTTGTGTCCTCATTTTGGAAGACTTTTTCTAAAAATTCAGTGAAGACCTTCATAATTTGCACTGTAGTTGTGGCTGAAGCACTGTGAAGGGTGTGAAGTTTCGCTGGGCTGGAGCTTCGTGAGGAATCTGTGTGTAGTCTTGCTTTCCTGCTCCGTTTGGGCACACTCAGTGACCTGCCGGGAGTGACCTCAGAGGGGGCAGGGCTCACTGGATTCTTTGACCTCATCCTCACACTTTCCGTTTTTTTTTTTTTTTTTTCTGCAACGGAAGCCAATATTGCACCTAAAGTTTTTATTCTCATAGGGGAGGCACAGTGTCGGCTGTTACTGATTTTTGCTGCGATGCCTGAGTCAGGTCCGACAGTCCGTTCTTGCAGTATCCCCTTTCCTGAGAACCTAGCAAAGTTGTTTCTTTCCTGCTGTATTAGGTGAAACGGAGAAATGTTGTGCATGTTTTGTCTGGTCAGAGGAGCTTTATTATTTTATTTTCCTGACTAAAACTGGCTTAACCTCACAGCAGGTAGGACAAGGGAGTCCGGTTTTTCTGATGTCACCTGGTAGTCTTTGCCTGAGGAGCAATGTCTTAGAGACCGATTGGACAGGTGAATGGAAGGAGATTATGTTTCATGGACATAAAGGGAAATCCTTGTGTGACGATTTTTCCATTTAATTTGAAATAACCTATGCTTTTTCCCTTAAAAAAGTCTCTAAGCATATATATATTCTTATTTTTATTGATTGTATAGTACTTTTAATACTCAAATATGTTTACATAAACAATCCTTTTAAAAAACTACGAGACTCATTTACTAATACATGAAAATGTATCCGATAAAATAGACATGATTTTATTCATATACAAGGAGTGGTTTGGGGATTACTGTATTGCTTTGCATATGTTTTATTTTAATCACTGATTAGTTTTGAATTCTTGTTTAAAAAAAGCAGAGGATTTTGGGACTGTAAAACATACTTGGCTTATTTTCAAAATAAAAAAAATATTAATTTTGAAAAGCCGAAGCCCCATCTGCTGCTTTCATTAAAATCTCAAGAATTATACACATTGCCAGGAGCAGTTCTCTGAGTACAGTCTGATGCTTAATCAAGCAGGAATATGTGAGTTTCAAGGTCATTTTTGGTAAAGTCAGGAAAATTGATTTTCTCAAACCTGATTAAATCTGAAATTGAATAAGGGCTTAATTAGATTTTACTGTGCATCTTCACGTATCAAAAATTCTCACCATTTCTATTTCTGAAGACTTAGAGTGTAGAAATTTAGAAAGGTATATAATGTATGTTTTTGGAAACATGGATTGTTATATAATAAAATAATTTTTTGAAAGTTCCTGTTTGTCTTGTGATGAAAACAATTTTTTTTTCCCATTTGGTGGGGAGGAGAGTGTGGATTTACTTTCCCGTGTTTGACTTACCTTAATGGAAACGGTTTACACCTTCCTAGCATTCTTAAGGTTAGAAGAGAATGGGTGTGAAGAGCCATGCTGATCAGATCTTGAAAGAACAGTGTGTTAGAATGGAATGTGTACAGGACCGTTACAGACCTCTGTCAGTGATAGCATAGTTGTAAATGCTCGGCTTTTCAAAGCTTGATTTAAGGGAGGCTGGGAGAGCTTAGCTCTGAAGCCTCATTAGCTCCTGATTTTCAGGGTGAACACCCTGCACACTGCCCTGCAGCATACAGGATCCACCACCCAGGCCTGCCCTGCTCGCTGGCTTCTCTGCTTGACCGGTGCCTGCTCTGGACTCTTCTCTCTTCGCTCTTCCTTCCTACCCAAAGCTGGGTGCCTCTCCTCCAACCTTCTAGAACATTGTTGTCACGGTTTCCCCATGACACTGACATCCTTTGAAGCTAGAGCCAGAGCCGTCCTTTGCTTATCTTTGCATCCCCAGGTACTGACACACACCAGGTACTTCCTGGTGATCTGAGAATGAATCAGGGGACCCCATGTCTTTCATTTTTTTAAGCAGATAATGCTGTAGTCCTTGCTGTCCACCAGCCAGTGCCGGGCAAAGATGACCTTTTCAAAATCAAAGCCGCTAGATGACCGTCAGGGCAGTGTAAAGTGTGGAAATTTAAGATAAAGCAAGATTGCCTTTTTTTGTGTTTGTTTGTTTTTCATCTTTGAAATGAAATTAAACCATTAGTCCTAGCCAATGATGCCTTCTTGGCCCCTAGGGATGGCTGTATAGATCTATTATCTTTCTTGATCTTTTATGAGTGAAAAATCTCATTCTTACTATATTTTAACATCTCCCACAGTAGATGCAGTTCCAATTGAAATTGATTTGTTTTCTTTTACAAACAAACTAGTTTTTTTTTCTACTCCTTTGATTCCTTTAAATCCACTTAAGATGCTTGAGTCATCTTGTTACACGTTATCTGATAAGAATTCAGTAAACCGTAACCAGGAAAATTAAAAGCCAAAACGCCATCCATCTGACTGCATGTAATTTCATTGCAGGAACCTCACTGTGTTGTGAAGGAAGCCTCCTTTATTTCCCCCAAAAGGAACGCATGGCATCTCCTCTGTGCATACATCCCGGTCACCTTAGCACACAAAATTCTCTCTGTTCCACTTTCTGTGAAACTCCCACTTGTCATCTGTCACACACCACTCTGCCTTGTCCTTTAATCTAGTAGGTGACATACATTTTCAGCGAGATTGGGATCCATGCTTTCATCTTCCTGCATTTCCATCTCAGGGCCTCCTTCTGTGTTGCTTAAGTAGGAGCAGCTCAATAAACAAAGGCTGACTGATTGAATGTGCCTTCATTTCTCTACATGAGGACTTTAGGGATCTTGTGGAGCATTCCCCTGTACTCTGACTGCTTCCTTCCTTCAGCTGACTTCATGGCCAGGTTCCTGGTATACAACACCAAACAGTCCTTCAGTCCCCCTGACTCCAGAGTCAGTTCTGTGCTGCTGCTTTAAGAGTTGACTCCTGCAACTGGCAGGTTAAGCTACCACCTGCAGCACCGGTATCTCATATAGGTACATTTCCAATCCAGTGCCCTGCTAATACACCTGGGAAAGCAGTCAGAAGATGGCCCAAGTTCCTGGACCCCTACCACCCATGTGGGGGATGTGAGAGAAGTTCCTGGCTGGTTCCTGGCCAGCTCCTGGCTTCCAAGTGGGAGTGAGCCAGTGGATGAAAGATATTTCTCTGTCTCTTCCTTTTAAAGAAATATTGACTTCTTCCTGAATCCACTATAGGATACCAAAGTTTATTGTTTTATTCTATGGTAAGGCAGCAAGGTAAAATTCTATTTCTGTTAAGGGATTGGCATTTGCGATGACCCTGTCACTTTAGAGTCATTGAGTCCAACTCCTGACCCCAGTTTCTGACTTACAGCTTCCTATATCTGCAGACCCTGGAAGCAGGAGTGATGTTGACTCAAGTAGTTGGATTCCTGCTACCCATCTGGGAGACCTAGATTGTATTCCTGGCTCCTGGCTTCATGCTTGTACTTGCAAAAAAGGGAATGTTTGCAAGCTACCAGATGGTTACTGCACTTTCACATACTAGGTAGTTGCTATATGGGTCGTTTCTTGATTAGTAATGACCTTGCCTTCTTGTTTTGTTGTTCTGGCAGAGCTCTTTCTATTAGCAACAAGTATTAAGTGGTGAATGATAAAATGAAACAGTAATAACAGAGACTGGCTAGCTCCTACAGGCTAGGTAGCATTTCTCACATTTTAATAACTGTTTTATTTATGCATGGCTTTTAGGCAGCCTGGATTTTAAAAGCACGGGCACTAACTGAAATGGTGTACATAGATGAAGTTGATGTAGATCAAGAAGGAATTGCAGAAATGATTCTGGATGAAAATGCTATTGCTCAAGTGCCACGTAAGTATTGATTTGCAGATATGTTCATGAAATGTCATTAGGAGCAAGAATACTAAAGAAACAGGAAAGGTAGAAATAGATGGATGGATAGCTATGTGGACTTGCCACACGCACTGTTTACAGAACATGGGGACACATGAACGCGAGTTTTCTTCAAGTAACGGTGTTGTCTTGCACTATGTAGAAGAAAGTCCTTCTGCAGTTCAATTGTTATTATCTGAACGTGTGCAATTGATGTATTTAGCTTGCATAATAAAAGCTATATTATGCACATAAAAGTTTATAAACGTGTTCTGTTGAAACCACTTTACTATGTCAGAAGATTGTTTCCTGGGAATAGAAATGCAAGCAACATCCAAGCGGCAGAAAGGTTCTAAAAGAATCTTAAAATCAGTTGTTTGAAAGCATCACTTCATTGTAATTACAGGTGGTTTGTTTAATGCTCAATGTGAGGTAGGGAAATGCCAGGCTTGTCCCAGAGGCCCAGTCCCAGCTTGCAGGGATGATGTTACGAATGGTCCTGGATGATCACCGTGCTGGTAATTTATTAATTATAGTTTTCCACCACACATATATTTTGGAAAGTAATTGCCCTCTTAAAATTTCAAATTGAAATGGAGTAAAAACATGTTTTCTGTTAAAATATCTTTATTCTCATCGTTTTGCTCTTTGTAATGTAAGACATTCAAATTCCAGATATTGGAAACAAAGCCTTTGATGGAAAAAGTTTTAATGAAAAATACTTCAAGTATGAGTATAGAGCTATCATTTTGAACTTCAAATTCTGGTTGTCTTGAGTTTGAATTCCAGCTCTAGTAATAGCTTAGCCTGCTTACTTAATTCTATAATCCTTTGTTATATGAATTGATGTGGCCTGACATATTGACAAAATTAAATGTGCTAAGTGACTTGATGGATGCTCATTGAGTATTGATCTCAAGCATATTCTGTAAAATACATTTCCTGACAATACATTACCAAGCCAGTGTAACTGTGAAAGTTGTGTTAGCTGACAATTTTTACAGATTAATGAATACTAATGTGAAATGAATTTGCATCTCATCTCTTAGGCCCTGGAACATCCCTGAAACTGCCTGGGACGAGTCAGACAGGAGGGCCCAGCCAAGCTGTCAGGTACGCACTTGGATTTTATGCCCTCTGCCTCTAACTATTGATCATCCCATGTGGGGGTCTTTCACGAATGAACTTCTTTGTGCTCCACCAATTTACTGTCTTCACAGGCCACTCACTCAAGCTGGGAGGCCCATTACTGGTTATCTCAGGCCCAGCACGCAGGGTGGAAGGCCGGGTACAATGGAACAGGCCATCAAAGCACCCAGAACTGCCTACACAGCCCGCCCTATCACCAGCTCCTCTGGGAGGTTTGTCAGAATGGGAACGGTAAATTTCTTCTGCTTTCCTATAACCTTATATTACTAAAGTAACCTTGTGTTAGAATAAGCCATTTTCCACCATTGTAACAGTGAGTTATATATAAACTTTTTGAACTATGTTAGCTATGTTTTCCACATACTTTTTATGCACAGTAAACTTATGCTTTGGGAGAAAGTCTCAAATTTCTTAATTCTGTTATTTTCCCCCATAGGCATCCATGCTTACAAGTCCTGATGGGCCATTTATAAATTTATCTAGACTGAACTTAACAAAATACTCCCAGAAACCTAAATTGGCAAAGGTATGCACTTAAAATGATTTTAAATTTTGAAATGATGTTGAAAGTATAACTATAATGACTTATTTTAGTCTGGGATTACTTAATGAAGTACTTGTACCATTCCATACTTCAGGAAACTTTTCTGTGGTGAGGCGAGTAGGTAGCAGGCAGCGTCCTCGCAGAATAAAGCATAAGAGGTCATCTGTCAGTATAATCCAGGTTGTTGTTTACGCTTGTCTAGACCTACAACTGAGTGCCATGAGGCACGTAGATAGCAGAATGTTAAACTTGCAGCTGTAGCTAAAGGACTATTCTGCTGTAATCATGTGGATGGGAAATGATGCGAGGAGAAAATGAGGAAGGAGAATGGGGAGAGAAAGGGGGGAACGCTCTACCTACAAAACTGTATCATGGAAAATAATAAAAATAATTTAAAAAGAAGAAACAAAGAAATGTAATACATTTTTTTTTAAAGTAAGGCCATCTGTATGTGTGCCTATCTCCTGTTTGCCTGTTCTTCTTGCACCTGTCTCAGAAAATCTGTATCCCTGTCGGATGTTAGGCATCTCAGTAAAGATAATTCAAGCTGGACCGTTCAAACCAGCTACATTAGTAATGCTAATTACTCCAAGATGAAATGCCCCTTTATATTAGAAGGAGGGAGAAGAGGAGGGGAGAGAGTGAGAAGGGTGTATGACTATGACCTTTCTAGAATAAAAAACTTGGGAGTGAGCTTGAAATAATGTAGCTAGGCGCACTTACCTTCTGGAAAGTGGTTTAAGCCTAACCCTGGTTTTCAGCTGGACTTGAGCGCTGAGCCTATTGCTAATCTCAGTTCTTTAAAAAAGTTTTTTTTTTTTTTTTAAAAAAAGAATTATTTATTTGAAAGAGTTGCAGAGAGAGGAGGAAGAGGTCTTCAATTTGCTGGTTCAATCTCCAGATGGCCACAATGGTGAGGGCTGAAAGTGGGCTGATCTGACGCCCACCTGAGATGCTGGCATTGCAGCCTGTGGTTTTTGCCTGCTTCTCCACAATGCTGGCCCCGCTAAATATGTTTAATATATTTATGAAATATCAGACACTCTAGGTCAAATAGAAATAGACAGCAGCCACACAGACTCAGAGTTTAAGTCTAAAAAAGAAACGTCATAGTTAGGGAATGAATGAACCAGTTATATTTTGTGACTTCTGGCAGTCGAGTCACTTTCATGAAGCAGAATTATAAAGCTTTGCGGACTGCTTTTTATGTGAGTGGAATAGTAAAAGTAACTTAGGGGCTATCAGGAGCTTCTTCCAAATCTCCCACATGGGTACAATGTACCTTGGGCCATTCTCTGCTACTTTCCCCTATGTGTTAGCAGGGAGCTGGATCAGATGTGGGGCATCTGGAACTAGAACCAGCGCTTGTATGGGATGCCGGCACCAAAGGCAGAGGATTAGTGTACCATGTTGCTGTGCCGGCCTTGACTCATTTCTAAAATCAGCATCACTTGGAAATGTTCATGGTGATGCTCTCAGGGTTGTAGCATCGTTTTCATAGCAGTAGTAGGACCAAATGCACTCTTGATTTTAAAGGAGAAAGAAAAAGAATCTATTTGAAAGAAAGAAATAGAGAAAGCTCATATCTGCTGGTTCACTCCCCAAGTACCCACAGTGGCTGGGCTAGAAGCCAGGAACTTCATCAGGCTTTGCCGTGTTGATGGCAGGGCTCGGCTTGAGCCTTACTTGGTACTGCCTGCCAGGGGCACATCAGCAGGAAGCCAGAATCTGGAGCAGAGCCAAGGCTCTCACGCAGACTCCCTAAGTGGGGTAGGTTTTGTAATCACCTAGCGGCCAAAAGCCCGCCCCACTCTGAGGCTTCTTTGCTGATAGCCTCGGTGTCCTACAGGGATGCTAGCCTCTGCAAGTGTACAGTAATGCCATGGTGGGCAAAGGGGGTGCCCACATGTGGCCATCCGGGAAGTATCAGCTGAGCTGGATGGATTATTGACAGCGGTTCTCAGCTCTGGCCATATATCGGAGTCATCTGGAGGCTATTAAAAAAATCTAACAGGACAGTGTCACTGGCTCCTTGCCTGAGCCCCCATGTGGTTCCAGTGTGCAGTTATGTCGAGTCATGAATATCCTGTTAAAGAAACTCGAATGATCTGAGCATTCAAGTTCCCATAAATACCATAAAAGGAGAAATAACTGTAAAATGAAGCAGAAACAGCAGCTGACATTATACTTAGAAACTCTGTTTCGGAAGGAACTTCTTAATTGTCATTATTAATATCGTAATCACGCAATAACAGTTGTAGAGAATAGGGGTAAATTGGCTGATTGCGTGTGACAATCCTGAAGTTGGTCCTTTTTAAGCAAACTTGGTATTCATCTCTTTCCAATAAGATAGCAAGCATAATGTGTGTGTGTGGGGGGGGGGGAGTGCATAATTCCTTAACTTTTTAGTGTGTACTCTAAAAGCAAGAATTAATTGTACATAGTAATATGTTTAAATTAGTGAGTGTAACAGAGGCTGACTTGATTCTTGTGAGTTCCAGGAACTGTAGAATAGCCTGTGTTTTTGATCCAGTTGTTTCTGGATTTTGATAGAACTATAGAGTGTGTTTGCTTACAAATCTAATGTATTTTGTAATTTTTTTTTCTTCACAGGCTTTGTTTGAGTATATTTTTCATCATGAAAATGATGTTAAGACTGTAAGTTGTGAACTCGTGCTACTTTATTTTAGTTTTCTGATTTGAACAGTTTAGACTTTGTACTACTCATAATATTTATTTATTCGGTTATTTTCATTTTATTTGAGAGACAGAGACCCAGAGAAAGCTCGCCCATGTGCTCGTCCACGTGTGTGTGTGCAGGTCGGGGTGGGTCAGGCCAGAGCCAGCACCCTGCAGCTCAATCCAGGTCTCACACATGTGTGGCAGGGTTGTAAGCACTTGGGCTGTCACCTGCTGCCTTCCCAGGTGCCTTAGCAGGGAGTTGGGTCAGAAGCGGAGCAGCCGAAACTTGAACCAAACCTTTGACATGGAATGAGGGTGTCCCAGGGGCAGTTTAACCTTCCTATTCCATTTTGGATGAGATGGTTGAGAAGATAAAGAGATATGAAGAAAGATTTAAAGAGATATGAAGGAAGGAAGGAGCCACACAGTTGTGTGTGGGAAGGGCCTCTCAGCCAGAGAGGATTTGACCGCAGAAGCCTCACTGTGGAACTTGCAGAGGCTGTGTAAGGGAACCAGGAGGAAGCCCCATGGCTGTGGGTGGAATTCCAAGGGAGAAGCACAATAGGTCAGAGTTCAAAAACAAAACACATCACCTGCTGTGTGTAGGTTCATCGTGAGGATGCTCTAAGTCTGGATTTCCATAGTGTTGGTTAGGAACAGGAGTCACATTGACCAGAGAACTTATTCTAGAGAGATTCCAAGAATGAGCAGGTTTTTCACCTTGTTATGTGAAGAGCAATATAGAATGTTTTCAAAGTTCTTTATATGCATTGATTTTTAAAGTTAATTAACAAATAAAGGAATGACTCAAACTCTTTATGTAGGCAGCAAAGCTTTTTCTTTTTCTTTTTTTTTTCCAAATGAAATCTAACCCAGACTCTCACAGATATAAGTGGAGCTGTTTGAATGGGAGCAGGGATAGCAAATGTTAACATGCCCCCTGAGCCACCTTGCTCCTTCCACGCGGGAGCTTCTGCCCCTACTCACTGGTGGGGGAGTTGGGCTCTGGTCCTGGATTATTTAGGGAACAGAGAAAGAGCTGTTTTAGCTCGTTGGACTCAGAATCTTCCAGCGGCCACTGCTGAATCTGCTGGTAACCAAAGCTTTACAGGTGTTGCCAGTTTTCAGCCAGGATGGGGACCTAATGCTATGGAAAACTAGCTTGAAAACTCTAGAAATGTTGGCAAAGATATCTTATAATGTGGGAGACTTATAATGTGGCTAGGGAGTGTTAGCAGGCTTTAAAAACCAGAAGTGCTGCGTGACTGGGAAATAAGATGAGGCGTGCTTTGTCTCCGGGACGGAGCTCAGTGTCCTGAGTGCAAAGGGACAAGAGAAAAATGACTCTCAAATGCATCTCAGCAACAAGGAGATGACAGAAAATACTCCTGAGAACCGGAGTCCCCCTATATGCTGTTCTTAGGAACAGCAGCGCTCTTCACACACTGGAAATAAACCCTGCTGGCTGTAGCGCCGGACTCCTGTTGAAACAGATCTTTATAATTGATTAGCTGACACTTGAGAAGATTTATGCAGGGACTTCCTTGTAGATATTTCATCAGTGAAGAATTTAAAAGCATTTCAACCAGCCAACAGCAAGATCCTTCCTAGATTTGATGGGGTTTGTGAAGCCATCTTACTCCTCTGTGTGCAGAGTCTGTGTGGTGAACAGAAACCAAATCAAACGTGCAAAGGCCGTTCAAGGGGGCAAGGTGCACCTCCAGGGGGATTCCAAACTGTTAGAGGAGTTTGTCATATTTAGGAAAGCTTATCTGAATTATTAAGATTGTTTTAAATGAAAACAAAAGCATCCCGCATAGGAATGAAGAGAAAATGCCATTAAACATGGACATTAGAAATGTACTTTACCACTAAACACTCCCCAAAATGTAAAACACGGATATTTTTTAATTCTGGGAGAATGAAGCAAATTGTTACATATTATTAAGGATATTGTTGATGCTAGTATTGCGGCATAACAAGCTAAACTTCTGTGCGGGGTGCCAACATCCCATATGGGCACTGGTTCAAGTCTGGGCAGTGCCATTTCTGAATGGCTCCCTGCTTATGGCACAGGAAGGCAGTGGAGAAGAGCCTGAAGCCTTGTTACACTGCACCCATGTGGAACACCAGGAGAAGCTCCCGGCCCCTGGCCTCAGGTCGGCTCAGTTCTGGTCATGTGGGGAGTGAACCAGTACACCGAAGATCTCTCTTTATGTCTCTCCTATTATAACACTGCCTTTCAAATTAAAAAAAAAATAATAAGAAGAAATATTGTTATAAATGGTTCAATAATTTGAAAAACAATATAATTTAAGTAGGTAAGCCATTAAGATGTTTATTCAGTGTGTTTTATTTCACTTATCAGGAAAAATTGGGAAATTTCAGGGAAAAGTAAGGTACGCTATTTGCCATTCTAGCAGAAATACTTTGTAAAGAATCAGCGTTCAAGGATAGACGATGGTTTTGATAATAAATAGCATAATGACATTTTGTGTGGTCATTACAAATTCTGCTTACAAAAAGTAGCAGAAATAGAAAAAAATGTTTATTTTATGTGAAGGAAAAAGCTGTGCTGTTCAATAGAGTTAGAACTTTAAAAGTATGTATTTATGAGAAATACAAGAAGGTATTACATGTAAAGAAAAATAGTAGTATTATCAGGTTAAAACATTCATTCCTCAGAAGTTTCTGGCATGCCTTGCATCAGGCTAACCCTGGGTTAGCACCATAAATAAAGTAGCTGTACACCATGGCATGAAGAGATTAATTTTCCCACCTTTTTTTCAACGTTTTTAAAAGAAAGGCTGTGGCAACTTTCACTTTATAAATTTAGCCACGTTTTCGTGGCAGGAGTCAACTACCCTGCTCTTGTCACGTGTTCCACGCTGCTGCTTCCGCTCACCCCCAGACCACCATGCTTTTTGGTAGAACACAAAGTAAAGCCATTGGTGTTGTTTGGTTAGTGAAAAGCACAAGTCGTTGCTTCTTTTCCTTTTTATGAACTAATTCATTTATTGATTTACTGGCTAGACAATCCTCTAAATGAATAATTACCGAGTGCCCGTTTATCAGTTGGTGGCGTTTATGAAAGATGCTAGGAGGTGTTACTTGAAGATGCAGACAGGTGTGCGAGAGGCCATGCTGGCTGCTGGATGAATCGAGTAGGGCAGTTCTCTGACTTTCTCATGTTCTCCTGGCTGTGTTACAGCGCTGCCTTGGATCAGATCACGTCATTAAATTTGTCACTCTAGATTTTGCCACACATGTTCTTTTCTGAATAGAATGATTTACATAAAGAAAAAAAAGCATGCCATTTTTATAACATATGCATTTTGCATAATAACTGGGAGGGAGGAATTTGTTGTTTAACATGCTTAAAAATCAGAAGTGATTTTTTTAAAATAATGACTGAGTGGTCTTTGGATTTCTCTTTAAATATTTTTCTGTAGGCATAGAGAATATTACAAATAACATGAAGAATATTTGAAATGATATTTAAAGATAAGAAAGAATAAAATTGTTCTTCCATGGAAAACCATATTTCTATTTTGAGTTCTTAATACTTTCAAATTTAGGGCAACATTGACAAAACTAAAGTGACATGTGCTGTGTGTTGGTGATTCTGTATTTGGACATAAAATAAAATATTATAAGTCACTTTAGGGAATACTTTGACATAGTACTTAAATGTTAAGAGGAAGTGGTGTTGCTATAGGGAATACTGGATATATGCCTTTGAGTTCTGAATAATTCCCTTTTCTTACCCTTCCCTCTTTGGACCATATTGGCAGTATTGACAAAACTGAAGGAGCATGTGGGCTCATGATTTTTGGAATCTTTATTCCCATATGCTCTTTAATTTCATCATCCTGATCTTGTCACAACTCGAACAGTAGTGCAAGGATGATGGTTTGTTAACCCCGAGGGTGGATGTACTCATAGGCCTTATGTTCTCTGGATCTCGCCAAGATGCTTTCCTTTTATTTTTGCACTTCCATAACCCCTGGCTTTGAAAAATTACATTCTGGGCATTTCCTAATAGCCAGATACTGGTTTTACTAAATTATTCAAAGATCCTTAAAAATAAGGAATATAGTCTTTTTTTTTTTTTTTAAGAAAAATTGGGAGCGACTAAAGAACTACGGATCTCCCATCACCACTTTGATTTCTAAAAACGTTAGTGGCCTCTAGTTAGGAATCTTGTTACTATGACAGTTTTATTTAGCCCTTAAGACATTTCCAACATAAATCAGAAATTGAGGCTGAACGGAACCCAGTCAATAGTGTCTTCTGTGAGCACAGCGTTGTTTCCTAACCGTGGAGATGGGACAAAGACTCTGTGGTGGGGACCCTAGGATTCACTCGAAATGGTTACAGATATTGTCCTCTAGTGTAGTTCTCATGGGAAGCATGATCATTAAAACAGAATCTGAAATCGTTTTTATTCTGCATCAATAATTCATATTCATTTCCTGAATGAGATTAGCACAGACGTGGATGGGACACTTGTCTCAGCACCACATCTGAACAAGCCAAAGTCAGCAGCCTGCAGCATAAACCTCCCCTTGGGCGGGCAGAGTGTTTATAAACGTTTTTGAATATCTTTTTCTGGAAAAAAAAAAAGGAGCTTTGTGTTTATTAAACAGAAAAGTCATTATTTCTTGGCCTTTTAGCTAAGCTCAAGCATATATTAAACAGGCAAATGAATATGATCTAATCGCTGGGAAGTCTTTTCAGATTACGTTAAATTGATACATTCAGGCGTTTACAATGCCTGTTTGAATCAAACTGATTGAAAACTATTTTCCTAGCATTTCTGGAGAGAGCGTTAATTGAAGTTATACTTTTCATTCTTTTGCTTTCATTTTCATTTCTGGCTGGAAAGGAAAAAAGGAAAAGGAGCAGAGCATGGGAAAGTCGTGTATAGCTTGTTCTTAATTTCCGTAGCTTTCAAGTAGAGATGTTGATTTTTCGAGTCCATTAGAGGCTCAGCATGGTGACACCAATCTTTTAAGAGGTTTGCATATTTAGAGGTCTCCCCTGGAGCAAGAGAGATGGGGAACGCCAGGAAAAGCAATTAATTTTGCAGCAGGAGATCCAAGGAACTCTCCTGGTGTTCATTTCAGAAAGGAGTTAATATTAAGAAGTGGACAGTAATGTGGGAAGCATTTTGAGATAATAGAACTGAAAATTCAAGAGTTACTTTCACCAAGCTGTTGGACATCATGATTAATCATCACTGGCTAAAGAATGAAGCATTTTCAGCTTCGAGAGAAGAGATAATAAACATGCAGTAAGAGCTCTCTCTTATTTAATAAAGTTCTCCCAAGTTAATAAACCCAGCTTCTATTCACCAGATCTTTAGGGGAGCTTCAGATTTCTTTGTTGTATTAATTTGTTAATTAATTCCTATTTATTTGATTAAGAGAGAGAGAAAGAAAGAGGACAGACATCTTCCATTTGCTGGTTCACTCCCCCAGATGGCTGCAAGAGCCAGGCTGGACCAGGCCAAAGACAGGAACTAGGGACTCAGTCTGTGTCTCCCATGTGGCTATGACAGGAGTTTAACTGTTGCTTGCTGCCTCCAAGGGTGCTCATGAGCAGAAAGCAGGAACTGAGGCTTGAAGCCAGGCATCCAGTGTGGGTTGCAGGCATCCCAAGCGATAGTTCGGCTGTTAGGTCAAAGACCTGCTGTCAGGAGCCTCAATGTGTGTAAGGATTGATTTGCTTTTATCATCACCAAAATGGTTTCTACTTCCTCTATGTAAAACCTAAATTCCTATTCAGTCATGTCTTATTTAATCTTTTGTAAGCATTAAAAGGAGCAAACTGGAAGATATTAAAGATGTGGGATTTGAAGAGTTCCTTGTTAGTCTGCAGCCAAGGCTAGGATAGTGTCATAATAATGAAATGAGGGTTGTTGAAGATAGCAGCCAGCCCAGTACTGCTTGTGTTCGTCATGCTTTAGTTTCTCGTTTTCTATATCCTTACTTGTTTTTGCTTAACAAAGAGGGACACACAGAGACAGTTCCCATCTGCTGGTTTACATCCTGATGCCTGTAGCTGAAATGAGGCTCGAGGAACTCAACCCAGGCCTGCCTCCTGGGTGGCAGGAAGCCAGGCACCCCTGCCACTGCTGCTGGCCGCCAGGGTCCACATTCGCAGGACAGCAGAGTCAGGAGGTGGAAGAAGGTGTTGGACCCAGGCATTCTACCCAGCCTCCCCTGTGCCAGGCCCAGCGCCTGTGCCTACGTCTGTCTCCCAAGTCCGCAGTCGGACACGCCGTGCACACCGGAGGCTTGAGGCGCTGAGCTTGGGAGCGTGATTTGAATCTTTAGATGGCAGATAAACAGTGGGCAAAGGGTACACACGCCTAAGGATTTAAAAATATCCGTTGTGCCTTGTGTATTCAAATACTTTATGCATGTGCTTTCTCCCCGTCTCCTGCGCTGCTAGCCCTCTGGGCTGGAGCTGATTATTTAGGGGAAATTGGCAGGGCCATCTGGGAACGTGGATGACCTGGGTCTCTTCTGCCGATTTGCAGCACGTGTTTTGCCTGATCTTTCTGTTTAACGTTAGCTCAAAAACAGCCCTCATTGAAGGTGAATTGTTTTCCAAGGCTCTGGACCTGGCCGCCCTCTCCACGGAGCATTCCCAGTACAAGGACTGGTGGTGGAAAGTGCAGATTGGAAAGTGCTACCTCAGGTGAGAGCTTTGGCCCACACACCTTACAAGTGGAGATGTATTTTCAAATCTCGAATCCATCCTCTTTCTGGGGGGTGGGCGGTGGGTATATTGCTCATACCAAACGAGAACCACTTGAGAAAGCGTTTGCTTAATAATCGCGTGATGGCAACAAAATTGGATACTGAAGGGTGGAGCTGGGAGGGGAAGGCTTCAAGGTCATCCTCCAGCTCCCTTTTTCAGATGAGGAAGGTGAGGCCAGAGAGTGGGCTGCGGTTTCCTGTGGGAGCTAGTTAGAGTCCCTGGACCGGAACCAAGCCTGCGGCCCTGGAGGTCCTATCCTCTTGACTCTGAGTCTTGTTTGTATTTATACTTCACGTTTGTTTGTTTTGTTTTGTTTTGTTTTTTTAAATCAATTTCTGTTCTATTCTGGCTTCATATGTGTTCTTATAATATTTAAAATATTTTTTGGGGGGAAAAAACTCGTTATCAAATAAAAGTAGATGAGAGGGCTTTTAGAAAGTTCATGGATTTTAGAAAAGCTATGCATACATTTTAGTGTTTTGCATGAAAATAAACTTCTCTTTTAATTTCATTCTCCGTGAACTCTGTAGACTTCCCAAGTGCCTTTTGCAGATTGTCATGGATACTTAACAGTCGTGAAATCCCGTGACTGTGCTTCAGCCTTCACATGTTGAAGACTAGCATGCTGAAGTGATGTGTTGTGCATTAAGACATGTTTTTTCGGAATTGAGAGTTCTTTCATGATATTTTAAATTTGTGGGACCACAGGCCCGGCACGATAACATAGTGGTTAAAGTCCTCACCTTCCACGCACTGGGATCCCATAAGGGCGCCGATTCTAATCCTGGCAGCTCCACTTCCCATCCAGCTCCCTGCTTGTGGCCTGGGAAAGCAGTCAAGGACAGCCCAAAGCTTTGGGACCTTGCACCCAAGTGGGAGACCTGGAAGAAGCTCCTGGCTCCTGGCTTCGGATTGGCTCAGCTCCAGCCGTTGTGGCCACTTGGGGAGTGAATCAACAGATGGAAGATCTTCCTTTCTGTCTCTCCTCCTCTCTGTGTATCTGACTTTCCAATAAAAATGAAATAAATCTTTTTAAAAAATAGATAAATTTGTGGGACCTTTGAAGAGGTAGGGACTTCTACACCGTCCCACAATGTCTACCTTTAGGCTGGTCTTTAGGGAGTCACCTTGAATCGCTTTAGTTTCAAGTCTTGCAACAGCTGTTTGGATCCAAATCACATCCATGCTTAAGTTCTTTGAAAAATGTATAAAGCCATTCTTTAAAATTGTTAACGTAAAGTTACACAATGGAACCCATTGTATATTATTCTCATTTCATTTGACAAAAGAAAGCATTATTCCCCCAGTGGCTCTTGGCTGACTAGTAATGAGTAACTTTGAGGGAGCCTAGCAGGCTGCACCGGTCGGTCTTCTTGTGTTGAAGACAGGCTGAGCTCGTGGGCTTTAATAATCAGTGGTAACAAAATATTTCCCGGGCAGAAAAGTGGGCACCGTCCTGGGGGCAGTCATGTGTGGGCAGGAAGCAAATCTCAAACTCACAGGCTGGGAAATCAGTATCAGATACCTAGAAAAAAGAAAGAAAGTTCTAGAAAAGTAGCAATTATATGTAAAAAAATAGTTTTAAGGATAATTTTTAAGACATGGACTTTTGTCTCAGGGCAAAGAATATTTTCCAAAAAAAAAAAAAAGTCATGCTCTGTTCTTCCTGTTGGGTGGAGATTCTAAGCGTTTATTCAGGTCAGTTGCCATCTGCCTGGCTGATCCTAAGCTCTGGCTGGTGAACTGATGTGACCTGGCTTACCGCAGCTATTAGCTGTGCCCGCTCGCTGGCTCCTCCCACCCAGTGCTGGGGTGGGTAGCCACGGCCAGCCCACGTAGCAAGTTCACTGTGTGAGTGGGCAGGATTACGTAAGAACGAACAAACAAACAAACAAAACCAAAAAATAGGCCTGATGGAGTGTTTTTTTATTTTAAGTTGAATGTCTAATTTGTTGCATGGCTGTTTTTAGATTGGGAATGTATCGCGAAGCTGAAAAGCAGTTCAAATCTGCCTTGAAACAGCAGGAGATGGTAGATACATTTCTCTACTTGGCGAAAGTAAGTAAATATTTTCAACTTGAGTGAAATGTGACTTCTCAGAATCAATATTTACATTCAACGGTTGGCAAGTTGTTACCTTCAGATTTGACCTCCCTTTCTTCACAGCCAGGGGAAAAGCGAGATGATGCAGAGGCTGGCGGTCTAGGGAGAAATTGATCACCATAAGAAGATGTGGAAACCCCTTGGCAAGCTTGCCCCGAGTACAGAAGGATACGTCCTAGGTCGTCCCTCACCACATTAGGTGGCAAGCCCCAGAGAGGCCTGCCTTTCTCCAACACACCTGCCTGCACCTGAGCCGGGTGTACGCAGCAGGGCCTGTTTGTGTGTGGGCCACAATTCCTCAGCTCCGAGTAATAGTAAAAATAACATTTTTCCCCCTTATTAAGCCCCTGCCAGTGTAGGGCATTGGGCCAGGTCTATTTTATAGGCAGTTTTATTTAACCGTCACAATAACCCTGCAAGGAAGGTCTTATCTTTCCTTTGTACTCTCATGGCAAATGAGACTCATGAAGGTAAGTCAGTTTTCCAGGGTCAGTTGGCTGTTGAGAAGCAGCGTTCAGGCTGGGGTCTCTGAGGCTGCCTAAGCTCGTCAGTGCCACCCCCAGTGCCACCCCCAGTGACACCCCACAGCCACCCCCAGTGCCACCCCCAGTGACACCCCCAGTGCCACCCCAGTGCCACCCTCAGTGCTACCCCCAGTGACACCCCCAGTGCCACCCCAGAGCCACCCTAGTGTCACCCCAGAGCCACCCGCAGACACGGAGGGAGTGAAGGAGCCTCTTGGTGTCTTCATATTAGGATGAAGAAGTTAGGTCTCGACACTTACTCAGGCTACTTGAGACAGAAAACCACTTGATGAAGTGTTGTTAGGAGACCAGCTTGCTCTATCTGTAAGAATTTTTGATTCTATTTTTAAGATTTAAAAATTCATTTTCATTGTATTTGAAAGGCAGAGAGAGAGAGAGAATGCACATTCCTGTTTGCTGGTTCTCTGTCTGAATGCCTAAGAGGTTGGGCTGCTGTGGACTGACTCCAGGAGCCAAGAACTCAGTGTGGGCTCCCGTTCGGGTGTCAGGGGCTCACTGTCCAAGCCATCGCCTGTGTGGTCTCCCAGGGTCTGCGTTAGCGGGAGGCCCAGCTTCCCGCCCAGTCACTCTGATGTGGAATACCAATGCCCAGGCAGCATCTTACTGCTAGGTGATGGTCAAAAGAAAATGAGATATAAAAGGAAGTGCTGCTAGTTTCTAAACAGACTAACAAAAGTTAGTTCCCCAGACCTGGCACGGTAGCCTAGTGGCCAGAGTCCTCGCCTTGCACCTGCCCTGGATCCCCTGTGGGCACTGGTTCATGTCCTGGCTGCTCCACTCCTCTACCAGCTACACGCCTGTGTCCTGGGAAAGCAGTCGAGGACGGCCCAAAACCTTGGGACCCTGCACCTACTTGGGAGACCTGGAGGAAGCTCCTGGCTTCTAGCTTTGGATCAGCTCAGCTCTGTTCATCATGGCCACTTTGGGAAGTGAACCAGAGCAGATGTGAGATCTTTCTCTCTGTGTCTCTCCTCTCTGTAAACCTGCCTTTCCAATAAAAATAAATAGATCTTTTTTAAAAGATTTATTTTTATTATGTTTTTTTTTTTTATTGGAAAGGCAGATATACAGAGAGGAGAGACAGAGAGGAAGATCTTCCGTCCGATGATTCACTCCCCAAGTGAGCGCAATGGCTGATGCTATGCTGATCCGAAGCCAGGAGCCTCTTCCGGGTCTCCCACGCAGGTGCAGGGTCCCAAAGCTTTGGGCTATCCTCGACTGCTTTCCCGGGCCACAAGCAGGGAGCTGGAAGGGAAGCGGGGCTGCCGGGATAGAACCGGCACCCATATGGGATCCCGGGGCGTGCTAGGCGAGGACCTTAACTACTTGAAATAGATCTTTTTTTAAAAAAAAAAAAAGTTAGTTCCCCAATAAAGTAAAAGTTATATCATAGAAAGTTAGTATACAAAAAAAATAAAACTGTAAAACTGTTTATCTGTTATGTATTAACCTTAAATTCTAGTAGAAGTTTCTGATCACCCCAGGTAGTAGACTTTCTGAAAGGAACACTTGAAATGAAGACATATTATTTTTCCTTTGTTAACTGGCCATTGATTGGCTGAAAAAATGGTGCTTTTATTGTAAATGTTGTTAAACCATGGTTTCATCTATTTTTCAGTAAACTGATTTGTTTAAATCCATTATTACCTACCTGGCTTTTTAGAGCGATAGGTTAACTTGTTTTCTTTAAAATATGGAGGAATGATTATTATGTAAAAGAGATACATAGATTTTTTTTTTAGGATTTTTTTTTTTAGTATTTTCTTTCTTGCAGATTTTAGTTGCTAATTAAGATCATTAAATACTCTATATCACCAGGCACATTAATTTAATCATTTATTATATTTTTAAAAATGATGAAGAAGTGTATAAGGTAAAAGGCCAGCGTTTTCACCAAATCCTGTCCCTCCAATCTTATACTTTAGTGATAAATGCTATTGACAGATTGATGTGTGTCCGTGGTTAGAAAATGAATCTGCAGTCATAAAAACAAATATAACCTTCTGTTTCCATATGCATAAAATCACAGTGATCTGTGTTGAAGGCATTCCTACTTAGCCAGTGGCTTGTCCATGCTGGTGTCTCAGTTGCTCATGAGGTGGAGCTAGCGGGTGAATGGGTGTTCACCAAGCATTATCTGGTTGAGCACCCTGACCGCAGCCTGCTCACGCGCTGAGGGGTCTGTGCGCCCGCCTCTGCCCTGCTGCTCTCGGTCCTCGTCCCGAACCGTCGTTCTTGCGCTGGCATCTTCCTCTGCTGGCCCCTAATTGGCCCCTTAATGCCATCTTATAGACATCCCTTAATGTCGTGTCTGCTCTGCCCTCAAAAGATTTTCCCTTCATCCTTTCCTTGTCTAGTTGCTGCCCAGTATCTTATATTGCAGGAATAAATGAATGAATGAATGCCTCTTATGCAACATGTGGAAATAAAACTATAGAATCAATACTGGACATTCAGCCTCACATTTCTGAGTTTTGTTTTGTTTTGTTTTGCTCGTCCTATGAGATTGTTAGCCAGTAATTACAAGCTCTCTTTGTCAAATACTGTCATTTTAAGAACTGACACTTGTATGGAAATGCATCTTGCTTTTTAGGTTTCCATTGCATTGGATCAACCTGTGACAGCTTTAAATCTTTTCAAACAAGGCTTGGAGAAATTTCCAGGAGAGGTAACTCTACTTTGTGGAATTGCCAGGATCTATGAGGTAACTTTCATATTATTTTTTAAAGTTGATGTGAAATAGAGATTAAATGCTACCAAGAAAGCTCGTGGACTCTTGAGGTTCTAGCAAAAAAAACAATTTACAAAATTATTCTTGTTAGCCTTCTGGTGTGTCTGTGGAATATGAGATTTTTGTGTATGCATTTGGCTGAACTAAGTTTTCATTGTGAAGTATTTCGGACTTACAGGAGAGAGTAGAAAGTGGCTGGATAGAGATTTAAATTCTTTCTTCTGCGTTAGTAGCATATTTGTTACCCCAGCATATTTGTGGATCCTTTTTCAAAGTCTCCAGGCTCAAATATCACTTTTTTCATACATGATAAATAAATATTTTAGACTTTTGTGTTGTGTTCTGTCGATCTGTTTATCCAGCCTTGTTATGCTGTCAATGTTATGCTGCTTTAATTACTTTATAATGTATCTGGTGGAATTCATCTTCATTAGGAGTGTCTTGGCTACTTTAGATATTTACTTGTTCTTATCAATTTTAGAGTCATGTTCTAGCGAGCCGTGTCTCCCCTGCTGCCTGATTAAAACGGCTTTCCAGTAAGTCCTGGAATTCCTGGTATCAGGTTGGGCAACCTCCCTACCTTGCTTTTCTCCGCAATTGATTATTCTTGGCTCTTCCAAACAGATTTTAGGAATGACCTATCAAGAATAATTTAAGAAAATTCAGTAGGGATATTGATTGAGACATTGATTGAGGATACAGCTCAATGAATATATTTTGCAATTATTTCCAGGACCATATTGTATCCACATAACACTAAACTCAGTAATTTATCAAAATTCAGTGTATAGTTGTCTCATGGCCAAGATTTATTATTGCACCAAAAAAATACAAAGTGAACTTAGGAAAAGATTCATGGTGCAAAATGCAGGTGGACCAGGTGCAAGTTTCCAGGAATCCTCTCCCACTTCCTTCTTGTGCAACAGGTTGTGACCATGTGGGAGAAGCACTGTCTACCAGGAAAGCTCAGAAGGGACGGGGCACATGGACACTCCTTGCCTACTACATGTCAAAATTGCAGAATCACAGAAATGAGCAGATGCTCCGCACAGACAGCACCTTATATATAAACAGTGCAGATGTAGCAAGTTACTGTTATTATTTGGGGACAGTTTTATATTAGTGAGGAGAACCAGTCAAGCTGAATCAGAAGGAGCGGCTGGGACATGAACTGGTGCCCCAAGGGGGTGCCAGCGTTGCAGGTGGACGCTTCACCCACTACACCTCAACACCACAACCATGGCATCTTCAATGCGGTAGTTGCTGTTCCATTAATTGCTGAACAGAATTCCTTCCAAAAGTTTATTATAGTCACTCCTGTGGTGTCAGGGATATGGAATCGCTCTGGAGCTGCCTTCCTCCTCCTCTGTTCATGGTTGATTTGTAACAGAAAGGAAGTGTGGAGGACAGCAGTGGGAGGGCCAAGGCAAGGACATCAGACACAGATGGGGAGGACAGCAGTGGGAGGGCCAAGGTGAGGACGTCAGACACAGATGGGGGCGGACAGCAGTGGGAGGGCCAAGGCAGGACGGCAGACAGAGGGGATGATCGAGCAGCCAGCAGACGTGAAATAGTTAGATGCAGTATTATTTCCCTTTGGATTTCCCTAGTGAATTTCCCTGATGCAGTTGACCATGCCACTTCAGATCCCTGATGTATTCTTGTCCTCCTCACGTGACTGCGGATTGGATAGAGGAATTTGCTCCTTAGCGTGGCAGCCTGCACGGTGCTGGATGTCTGTAGGGATTTTGCTGTGTACATCACGCTTTTCCTTGGGGGAATTCTCTTCCTTTTTTTGTCTGCTGTTTATTTATCACTTTCATTTTGGTACTGAATCCTAACGTTTCCCATTTTAAAATGAACACGTTTTTCCTGCCAATGGTTCATTGCCTTTTTTTTTTTTTGGTACAGACATTTGTTTAAGAGGATTTATCATTGCTTGGTAGTTAGAGGCATTTTGTTTAAAAGATAGATCTGTATTTTATCTGTTCATTGTTGAAAGGTGTTTGAACAGAAAGGCCTTTCCCTAGAAGTGTTACTGTAGGGGCCCCGGAACTTTGTAGTGTGTGAAAATCACCATGGGAGATGGTACAAGAAACATGTTACAAAAAAAAAAAAGAAAGAAAACATAGTCCGTTCCTCACCCTGCTGAGTCAGAAGTCCCGGGAGCTGGGACTTGAGGTGTGTGTGTTTTAAATATTTATTTAAAAGACACAGAGAGAAAAATGGAGAAGGAGAGCGAGATCTCCTGTCTGGTTTGCTCCCCACGTGCTGCGGCAGCTGGGGCTGGGACAGGCTCAAGCAGAATGCAGGAACAACATCTGGGTGTCCCTCGTGGGTACCATGGACTCACCCACTGGAGTCATCCTGTGCTGCCTCCCAGAATGCCCAGTAGCACGAAGCTGGGTTATAGGTTGAGTTGGGCCTTGAACCCTGGCACCCTTGAACCCTGCCCACCCTGGAAGGTGGGCATCCTGGATGGGAGCTGCTGTCCACACGCCTTCCCTGTGTGTATACTTTCAGCGAGCTCACTGGGGGTTTCTGCTGTAGAACAGACCAAGAACCAGGACAGCATCCACTTCCTTAAGTTACTTGCTATTTTACTTCAAGTAATTGAATATCTAATTATAGTTAGTATTTTTTAATTTGTGCCAAAAATAACCAGTGTAAAAATCAATTGCGTGATTCCAAGCTTATTATATAGTTGGAATGACATTTATATAGCGGAAAGTGTTATTCTAAAACACATTAATAAAATCTATTCTAGAGCTGGTATAATTTAAGTAATTCTGATGCAGGAATAAGTAAAGGGAGCAGAATAGAGCTGACATATGTTCATGCATATGAACATTGAGGACGTGGTAAAAGATGCCTGTTAAACCAATTGAATTGAGTGATAGACGCAAACCTGAGATGAATGAAGAACAAACCTTTTTCAGATGCAAGAATTGGAACAAGTGGCCACAAAAACTGGACAGCTTCTATCCCTGAGTTAGACAGAGCCAGCTTGTCACAGGCATGGCTGTGCAGTCTGCAGACCTTCTTCACTCAGGAGAGCCTCTTATTTTTCACAAAAACATGCTATGAGATTGATAGATTGGATGTATTATTCAGAATGAAGTAATAGACATTTGAAAATGTCAGTTCAGCTTATGATATCGATAGATATGACATAAATGAAGCTGTTTTAAGATTATCAGCAGATTTTAAGTGTTTAAAGAGATCTTGAGTTCAGAAAACTTGAGTGTCTCTGTTACAGTAGGAGTGGGGTATAAGAACATTTTAGAAACTTTTATTTTTGCTTTTGAACTTTTCAGTAACCAGAGGCACTGAATTAGATGCCAAGAGGACAAATTATGTGATCTTGTTCTTAGGAACTTGTAGCACTCCTATTTCATGGATTCTGTAAGACTTTCATTGTCCACATTTTGGGTGTTTTTGGAATTGGGGTGCATCTGAAAGTAGACAGGGCTTTTGATCTCTGAGCCAAGGGGCAGCTGTCACGGAGCTATTGGAACCTGTTGGGAGTTCTGGCAGCATGGTGAACTCGTTAATGATTCCAGACTGTGGCCGTGGTTGACACCTGCTGGTAAGGCTCAGAAAGCACAGGCAATGGCTGTCTCCTGGCTGCAAAGAAGATCCTAGCGACAGCAGTGAGCGGCCTTTAGCAAATGCTGAGCGTGAGTGTGAGTTCTCACTGCAAAGAAGTGATGCGCGCGAGAGGCCATGGATGTATGAAGTAGTCTGGCCTGTCCATTTCACATTGAAAGGTCTCATCTCATAAATATCTAGTTTCCTAATTGTCAGTGAACATAAGAGAAACAATGGCATTGCCAACAAATGGAACAGTATTATGTGAAATAGTGTGTACTTGGGCGACCAAGTCAAAAGTGATGCTGGGACATTTAGGCTGGGAATTAAGACTCCCTCATGGCATACTCACCATGGCGGGCGGGGGGCGGCCTGTGATTCCCCACTCCTACTGTGACAGAGACACCTGCTGCTACCACCTTGTGGCAGTGTTCAACCACGAGGTTCTGGTAAAGCAACCAGGACATAAAGTGGTGCCCCTGTGGGATGACACTGTTGTAAGTGGCAGCTTCATCCACTATGTCACAACACTGACCTCCTTGCTTCTTGTAATTAGTGGAATCCAATATTTGATAAAGAATGATTAAAATGTAACAAACCAGGAATCCTCACAGAGTGAGAAATAATGCGTGATCCACGTAATGAATGTCGTGTAAGTTGAGAGGCAGAGAGAGCAATGTGGAGTGAGGGGTCTTGGGAATACTTTTGAAAGGATGTGGATGGAGGCTGAGGTGGACCTTAAGGTGAGTTTCAGAGAGCTAACATTCACCCATTACATTTATTTACAATGAGCAGTATTTTAGAAGGAATATATAGCAACTCTAGGAAATGCTTACTTTTTTTGTTTTTTTGGGTTTTTTTGGTTTTTTTTTTGGCTGATTTCATTCTTTTTATCCTGGGCTCTTGGTCTGCCTGCTCCCGTGCTTCCCTGCACTTAGCAACCAAGATATTCTTCACTCTTTATCTATTCCTTGGGGAGGCAAACGGCCAAAGCTCCCACACTGTGGTTCAGTCTCCAAAGGCACACAGTGACTGGACCTGAGCTGGGCTAAAGTTGGGTGCGGGGATTCAGTCTGGTCTCCTGTGTGGCTGACAGGAACCATTTGCTTGAGCCAACGGTGTCACCTCCCAGGCTCTGCCTTGACCTGGAGGGAGGAGCCAGGCCTGAGCCTGATTCCTGTGAGATGGACACAGGCACTTACAGCAGCACTTAACCAGGAGGCCGACTACTCATCCCTCCCTCCAAAATGTTCTTTTAAAGTTGCCGACATCGTGCAGTTGCATTCATCTTCTGCTTTTAATCCTCTGGCGGCTTTCCTTCAGAGCAACTTCAGAAGGAAATCTGAGGTTCTTCCTGGGGTTGACCAAGGCTCTGGTGCCTCTTTGTTCTCCTTTTGTGCTCCCGACAGCCCTCTCTCCAACTGCCCTTGACTTCTTGTGTTCCGTCCCAGGCTCGTGCACTTGCTGGGAGTGTTCATTCTGTGTCCTCGGGGCCTGCCACAAAGCCTGGCACATGATAGGCTCTTAATCAATATCTATGGAGTGCATAAACTTTGCCAGAAAAAAAAACTCATGACCAGTATTTATTAAGTATTGTGTTTTTTTGTCTTGATGGAGAATAGGAAATGAACAATATTCCCTCAGCGACCGAGTACTACAAGGAAGTTCTGAAACAAGACAATACTCATGTGGAAGCCATTGCATGTATTGGAAGCAACCATTTTTATTCGGATCAACCAGAAATAGCTCTCCGGTTTTACAGGTGTGCTTTATAGCCAATCTGCACAACTGCTTTCCTGCGAGACACTATGCAGCAGTAGCAAAGATGGGGCCTCAGTGTCAAGAAGTACCAAACTGAGATGTTATATGAACATTAAAGTGACAACCCAATAACTGGAAACATACAGATACTTGGTATCTTGCAGAAACACAACTGTATAATTGACTCGGTTTTTGATAGCATGTCATTGTCTGAGCGGCCATTTTGTCGTCAATCAGCAACTGTTTGAATATTTCTAATCATCGTTGCCCTTGTTAATGGCACCAATCATAAAGACACACACAGAAAGAGTGAAGAGATTTGCAAAGAGCAGTTAACTGCATGGCTTGAAAGAGGGTCACCTGTTTATGAAAGATTGTCAACTCTTGTCCAAACATCTTTTCAAAAATAAATACATTATATCATGGGTTCTCTTTAAGCACATGCTTATTTTATGCTTCTGGAATTAATTTTTTAAGTTATGGGTATCCTTTCAGCCTTGGGGAATATACAAAGAGATGATTGGCGGCTGACCAGAGCTCTTTCCAAATATATCTGAAATGCAATAATGCAAATGCATTGCGCATGCAGTCTCCTCCTGCCCCCTTGAAGGGGATTTGAGCTTTCTTAGAGCAGCTGGACTGGATTTCCATTTGCCTAATTGACCTTACTTGTCCTGTGTCCCTTGGATTAAATAATATCCAGGAGGAACATAGAGCCCTTGAGCTGCGCCGTGAAAGCCGAATGGAGGGCAGATGGATTCTTCTCCCAGTGGAAGCTTACAGACAGAGCTTTACCATGAAGTAGTAGAGGGCAGGATTCGAGAGTGGGATTCAGCTCCGCCAGGCCTGAGGAATGCACCCAGGGACGCCAGAGCTTTGCAGCATTTAGAGTGTGTGGATTTGGCCTGATGTGGCATTTAGTTCTTACGTTAGTGCTCCCACTAACTTTTTGGAGGGAAAAGCTTAGATTACTTGCGTCTGACTGTGCCCCTGCACATTCTGTACGACGGGCACCATTGCAAAAGGAGCATCTTTGTATGAGGTGGTGGTGGTAGAAGCAGGGTGTTTAAAAAGCTCCAGAGTCATGTGTAGCCAGAAAAAATTCCAGAGATTTCAGGTTATCACATCAAAACAAGCCTATCTTTTAATTCCATTTTCCAAGAATTATTTGAAGCACTCTTACATTAGCTTTAGTCTTTTTGAATTTACTATAACACTGCACTTCTGTTCTTTGAGAGTATTTACATGATACAAATGAGTTCATTTCTAATTTGGTAAAAGGAAAATGCATGTTATAACACAGTGTTGGCTTGACAGTAAAATGTGTGATCTCTTTTTTTTTTGTTTCTTTTTTTTGAAAAGGCGACTCCTGCAGATGGGTGTGTATAATTGCCAGCTTTTTAACAATCTGGGGCTGTGTTGTTTCTATGCCCAGCAGTACGACATGACCCTCACCTCCTTTGAACGTGCCCTTGCTCTGGCTGAACATGAAGAAGAGACAGCTGATGTGTGGTACAACCTGGGACACGTAGCTGTGGTACGCTATTTTCCTGATACAATTTCTGGTATGAAAAGTTGGAAGAAATTTCTAGGTATTATATATCCAGGTTTTGTCACAGTTTTCTGTGGCAGTTTAGAGGCATACAGGAGTCAACCATAGTTCATTCTCTGTCCCCAAGTCAGACTCCCCCATATGGAATTCACGCCTGACTTCTGTAATGGATGCTTGCCACTTTTTCTATAGTAACAGGAAAGATTTCAATGAGGAAAGATGGGAGGGGGGCTGGCAAAAGGAAGCGTATGGATTCACGTGTGCGAATTGGTGCCTCTCTTACAGGGCATAGGAGACACGAACTTGGCCCATCAGTGTTTTAGACTGGCTCTGGTCAACAACAACCACCACGCCGAGGCCTATAACAACCTGGCCGTGCTGGAGATGCGGAAGGGCCACGTCGAACAGGTCAGGGACCTAGCCGCAGCCCAGCGGGCACTCTGCTTTCTTCAAAGGAAAAGTGTCCTCAGTGGTGATTGTTATCTAATTTAAAATGAGCCCTGGAGGTAAAGACGCCGGTGTCCATGTTGGAGTACGTGGGTTCAATACCTGGTTCTGGCTCTGGACTCCAGCTTCCTGCCAATGCGCATCGTGGGAAGCAGGTGATGGTTGAGAGAGCTGGGCCTCTGCCACCCTTGTAGGAAACTTATATTGAGTTCTGGACTCCTGACTTCTGTCTGGCCCAGACCTGACCATTGTGAACATTTGGGATGGAAGCTGTCTTCCTTTCCCCCTCTCTCTCGTCTCCTTCTCTCTGCCTCTCAGATAAATAAATACATCATTTTTAACAAGTGATATATAAGTGGGTTCTGGATGTGAATCGTAGCTTTGTCACATGTTAGCTAAGTGAGCTTGGACAAGTTACTTCTTTAAAAAAGAAGGAGAAAGATTTTATGAGAGCAAACATGAGCTCCTGTTCTTTCCTGCCTTAGTGAACTGTAGTGCTGCTCAGCACCCTCTGCTCCCCGCCTGGCAGCTCAAGCTGACGTCCTGGGAGCCGCTTCCCCCAGACACCTGCACCTGGTCGCTTTCCCTGTTCCTCTCACCTTTCTCCAAACCACTCCTGTCTTCTTGAGCTGCTCCTGGGCCTCCATCTGGCATTTTGTTCCCATATGCACCTACCCTACCAGGTAGCCTCCTCAGAACTACCAAGTGAATCTGCTTAACGAACCAGATTCTTAACTTCTTTGCTTAAAACCCTCCAGTGCTTTCTCCTTGCCCTTGAAATAAAATCTGGAATCCAGATTGTAGGCTCCAAGGCCCTCGATAACCTGGCCCCCAGTTCTCTCCTGCACCCCACCTTGTGCCACTTCTTTCCCACTGACTTCTGAACACATAGCCGCCCTGCTCAGCAGCTGTGCGGTGTGCAGTCTTCCGGCAGGGCCTTAGAATGCTCTTCCTTCGCGTCTTGCAACAAGGTGGGTTTTTTGTTTTTTGTTTTTTTGGTCCTTGTGGTCTTAGCTTAAATACCACCTCCTTTGGATGGGCCTTCTCAAACATTCTAAAAAACCTTGATGTCATGTTTCTTATTTTCCTTTCTTCTTACTTTTAATTTTACCGCATATTTTCGTAGTTATGGGTAGAATGTGGAATGTCAGCTGTGTGAAAGCAGCGGTCTTAACCTGTCAAGTAACTTCAGTGTTCCCAGTGTGTGAGATAGTGCCTGGCCAGGGTAGGAGCTGGGTGATGTATGACCCATAAATCCACCGACTGAAGGAGTTGTGTGAGGCTTAGCATCATGCGTAAGCACCTGGCGTGGTAGAGGTACAGCAGTACACACATGGCAGGTGCAAGTTACATACAGAACCAAACTTTTAGATGCTGAATACATTCATATCTTATTAACAACAATCCAAGATAAATGTTATTACAGTCTCCAGCTTACAAAGATGAAGACTGGAAGAGGGTGAGTGACTTTTCCAGGGATCCTGGACATGGTTAAGCAGCATGGCAAGACGTTGGCCTCTGCCCTGGCATCCTGAGCAGAGGGATGAACTTTTAGCGGAAACAAAGGCAGACACCTCATTGGACAGTCCTTTGTCTCATCACCACTCCCACAGGAGTTAAGGTGGATTCGCATGCTATAAACAAAAACTAGTATAAAATGGACCCTTGCTCTGGCATGAACTTTGGACTTTAAAATGCTTTACTATCCCTGAGTTATTTTTCTTGCTATTATATTAGAGAACAATAATTTGAACCTGCTAACTCAACCAACAGCAACAAAATCTAGATTTCTAAGAAGACTTTTTTTTTTTTTTTTAGTATTGAGATAGCATTTAACTTGCAAGTCATATTGAAATACAAACTTTATGAGGTCAGTAGTTCTCAAACAATCTGAAGACTACTCCAGACTTTCAGTTCTCTTATTTTCTCTGGCTTTTGAAGCATTTATGATCAACATAGTTTAGTAAGACATCAGTAGTCAGTTGTATTTCAGTAAGTCCTATTTCACGAGGCATCATCATCTGTATTCATCACGAGAACATGTTTAATTAAATCCCACCCTGGATAAAGAATTATTTTACAGAACAAATCACAGATGCAGTGCTGACGTATGCTCGCACGCCTTTGATTGTTCCTTTTCTTTGTTACCCAGGCCCGAGCACTGTTACAGACCGCGTCAGCTTTGGCTCCCCACATGTATGAACCACATTTTAATTTTGCAACAATCTCTAACAAGGTAATCTCTTCCTTTCTTCATTTATGATCTGATATTTCTTTTTCTTTCTTAGCTTAAAATTTAAGTCCAGATATCTTGCTTAGTAGTTAAGATGCCGGCAAGCCCGGGTCCAACCCGTCCCTCTTGTCAGCACGGAGGATGCAGCCATCAGTAAAATGGGCAGAAACCATCTGCCTCCTATTTGGAGTCCCGAGGCAGTGACTGTGTGTGGGTTCGCGGCCAGCTCCCGGGAGGCCTGTGTGTGTCCCGCCATGCTGTGCTACCACAATTAAGCAGCAAGGAAAGTGTAGCTGCTTTCAAGAACGGCATCACATCTTACTGAGCTTTTGAAACCACATATGTTCTCAGCATTGTGTTGGCACCACTTAGAACCTCTCAGAGCAAACTGTGATATCTGAAATACAACCCTTTTTCTTCAAATTTGTCTTTCTAAAGGGTGACACCTTGATCAAAATAGGTCCTTGCGGTTTCGCGCAGATGGCTTGCTGAAGCTGACAGCACTGCCTGTGCTGGCTTGCAAATGCTGTCTTCTGTTTCAAACACTCCCGATGTCCAGGAAAGATACCCGTAGGCTTCTGTAGGCCTGACCAGGCAGCCATCCTAGGCTGTAACTTATCTATATCATTGGTTCTTTATTTTTATGACCTATGTCTTAGATGGATTATGATCTAGGTGAGGGAATTCTAAAATCAAAGCAGTGTCATTGAGCCGTGTACCTTGTGGGATCCTCCGAGTTCCTAGCATATACAAGTGGGGCGCTAGTTTTTTTCTGCCTCCCCCCACCTGCTTTCTGCTGTAATTTCTTACAGATCGGAGACCTTCAGAGAAGCTACACTGCCGCTCAGAAGTCTGAAGCCGCATATCCAGGTCACGTGGACACACAACACTTAATTAAACAATTAAAGCAGCATTTTGCTATGCTCTGATTGTTCCATAGACCCAACAGGTTCTTATGAAAGAGCATTGCACAAAAGCAAGAGAGCATTATGTGCTTCTATATCTGTGAAGCCGGGCTGGGCTTGAAATGAATGAAGGTGACATGGAAAAGAGTTGAAACCAAAAAAAACAGAGTGGAAACTGTATAACTGTTTCTGTGTATGATATTGGAAAATTGTGATGGATGTTTACATTTCCTAAGCAATTTTGATGCTTTCTGCAACTTTTTATAAATGTATATTTTTATAGTGCTTATACTATTAATACTTACATAGCTTTAAGGGGTCTGAAATCAGCACTTTAAACTCCACTTCTCTGGCTAAAAGTATGTGTATGCTATCTTCAGACTCTATTTAAACCTGAAGAATTGTACTTTAAACTACTTTTTGTCAACTACTTTGTGGCTATGTGCTGTGCTTTAAAATAAACCAGTGTATAAAACAAAGACACTACTGCTGTGGCTTGGATGTGATTTGAGTGGCCCCTAAAGCTTTATGGATTGAAAGTTGATCCCCATTGCAAGGTGTGAAGAAGGGTGGGAACTTAATCAGTCTTTGAGATCAGAGAGGGCTATTTGGGGGATAATTAATAAGTTCAACACACTGGAACCCCAGTGACTGAAGAGTGACCAGAGATATGTAAGATGATCAGAATGGACCACGGAGTCCTGGTACGGGAGACTCACCTGTGGTCTGTCCAGGGTCAGGCTGTATGAATCTACAGGACGGTGCGGGTTCGGGGGGAGGCTCTCAGCCTGCCTTGTTCAGTGAAATACCCATCAAATCCTCTCATGGGGCATGCTAATGGGTCAGGGCCCCTCAACCTCAGTTTTGGGGATCCTGACAACCATTTTATAGATATTATTTATAATCTCTTCAGGCTTTTTAGATATATAATTATTACTACTTAGCTAACACAGCAACAGCAAAAAAATGAAGTTCAGGGAGTTATGACTAGAGGTGACCGGAGGTGACGTCTGAGAATGTGCACCCTCCTCATGGTACCACGCAAGGGCCAGAGTCGCCCCTCTCCTGGGTGGTGACGTCACACTGGAACCCACAATCGCACCTCTGAGCAGACTGGAACGTTTCCTCATTCTGCAAAACATGACTGCTCACTGAGCTCTTGAGAATTTGCTCAAGCACCCTTGGGTGCACTAATACTCTGCACCCAGTGTTTAGATTAACATTTGATCATGTCAGGCATATTCTAAGTTGCTAAAAATTATATGAGTGAATAGTAAGTCCTGGCTTCCACTGAGGACATCGTATGTCCTAAATGTTTCACGTCAGCTCATTTCCCTCCTGCTGTGGTCCTGTGTGTCCCTTTCACTTAGGAGAAAGCTGAAGCATGGAGAAAGGAAGGTTCCGAGACTGGTACTTGTTAGAGCTGTGATTCAGACACAGCATGGTCCCCAAGTACATGCCCTTTACCATCGTGGGAAATTGCATCTCCTTTCTTGCCTCTAAATAAAACACTTGTCATTTAAAATGAATGTTGTGTGCTTGAGTAAAGTTGACAGGTAAGAGAATATATTCCTAAAGTGGTCCGAGGGAGATGCTGTGTTAATTCAGTGCGAGCACCAGTGCCAAGGGTACCAGGGTGATTGAGGGCAGAATGAGGGCACTGGTAACACCGCATCAGGAGCTACATGTGTGCTTGCAAAAAATACGTGTTTGTGGAGTACGTCACCTCTGAGATCTGCCAACATTCTGGAGAGAGCCCGTTAACCATTATCACATAGCAGAGTGATTCAATGCACAATTCCAAATTGTCCAAAAGTCGCCTTGTTGAGCTTTGTTCTAGTCGATGAAAATGAGATCTGACAAGAAGGCTGCACTGAGTAACTGCTGACATTGGAAGCTCTCCTTTCTCTACAGATGTGTCACTTTCGAGCTAGTTCTTCATGAATGCAATTCTTCCGTTGCTTTTCTGAATGATATTAGCAAGTACCAGGGTAGCTATTAGAATCTAATGAATGGCCTAGAAGATTCATGAAGATAGCACATCACTAACTCATTTTCCAGCAGCAGCTCTACAAGTAGAAGGAACTTTCTGTCAAGAACCTCTCCCTGGGATAGCTGAAGCTCTCAGAAAAAAGAAAATGAAGATTTTAGAAGGGCTGAGAGGGGACTCGGGAGAATGGTGAACCTTGAAAATGGGTTCAGGAAAAACCTGTCATCAGAAATTTTTAAGTTTTAACAAGTGAGTCAGCTAGAATGTTCCATGGATACATTCTAGAGTTTCAAAATGATTGACAGGGCTCAGATTTTAGGGGAGAAACAATTCAAAAAGAACTGGTTTCATGTCCTTCCATGTTGATGGCATCAGTCTTATTTTTGGCCGAATAAAAACATTTTTTGAGAGTCTGTCCTTTCACTTCTATGAAATCAAAGACGGTTTCTGAGGTCCATGAATGGGTCCATTGCTGAGATCCCTGCAGACTGCAGGCTTTCTTGCCAGGTGGTGCTTTTCTGGTCTCTGGTCAGGCTGTTGCCAGCCTGTCTCTTGACTCCTGGTTCGTGTAACTTTCAAGTGGAATTTCCGCTAGGCTATCTCAGAGACACTTTCATTTTTCAATGTCAACGAGAAAGAGGAAATTTTCAAAGTAACCAGGGGAAAAAACATGACATTGTATACAGAGGAACATCTGTATACCAAAGGAAGACAGCAAATTTCTTGGCGGAATATAAACAAAAGGAGTGGAGTAACTGTTCCACAGATTGAGAGGGAAAAGGCGTCCTCGAGTGTTCTATACCTACAGACGACATTTCAAAAAGAAAGCTGAAATAAATGTCATATATATGAAAGCTGAGCAAAATGAGTCACGGTGCACCACCATTGTCAGAACTTTTAAAGGAAGCTGTTTAGGGACAAGAAAAATGAATCCTGGTGGCAGTGAGAGTCAGCATAAAGGAGCAAAAGGCATCAGAATGTATAAGCTATCTGAATGCATTCAGGTATTTTCTTGTTTCATGTTTCTCAGCAAAGCTTACTGTTTAAACACAAATAGTGGCAATGCAGCGCAGAGGTTATAATGCACAAGTAAAACATATTACGATAGTATTAAAGTTGAGGTGGAAGAAATGGAAATCTATTATTTTAATCTTCTCACCCTACGCATGAAGTATTGGAGTTTGACTAACTGGTAGATTGTGATGAAAAGTGTAGATAATAAGCTAGCAAGAGAAACAAAGAAGAAATGGCACAAATTCAGAGTAAATCACATGATGTTTAAATGTAACCATGGAGTGGACATTTGGGATAGTGGTCGAGTCGCTGCATGGTGGTGACATTTCATGTTGGGGTGCTGGCTTCAGTCCCAAATACTCTGCTTCTGCTCCAGCTTCCTGCCAGTGCACACCCCAAAAAGCAGCTGGTTCCTGCTCCTCATGCTATAAGCTCAAATGGAATTATGACTCCTGGCTGTTGCAGGCATTTGGGTAGTGAACTAGCAGATGAAGGATTGTTCTCTGTCTGTTCATCTATTTGCTTTTCAAACAAAATGAAAATAAACTAAGATTTAAACCTAACCATATCAACAATTCTATGAAATGCAAAAGAAATGTGACTTTGTTTGGCAATTAAGATGAAGAAAATATTACTAGGGATTTAAAAAAAAAACACTGTTTGGGCCAGGCGTGGTGGCACAGTGGTTAAGTCCTCACCTTGCACGCCCGGGATCCCATATGGGCGCCGGTTCTAATCCCGGGAGCCCCTCTTCCCTTCCAGCTCCCTACCTGTGGCCTGGGAAAGCAGTTGAGGACGGCCCAAAAGCTTTGGGACCCTGCACCCGTGTGGGAGACCCGGAAGAGGCTCCTGGCTTCGGATCGGCACAGCACCGGCTGCTGCGCTCACTTGGGGAGTGAATCATCGGATGGAAGATCTTCCTGTCTCTCCTCTCTGTATATCCACCTTTCCAATAAAAAAAATAATAAAAATAACTCTTTAAAAAAAATAAAAAAAAACACTGTTTGATTCATAAAAGTTTGGGACCCTGACCGTGTGGGAGACCGGAAGAGGCTCCTGGCTTCGGATCGGCACAGCACCGGCTGCTGCGCTCACTTGGGGAGTGAATCATCGGATGGAAGATCTTCCTGTCTCTCCTCTCTGTATATCCACCTTTCCAATAAAAAAAATAATAAAAATAACTCTTTAAAAAAAATAAAAAAAAACACTGTTTGATTCATGAAAAGGACACAAGAATCCTAAAACTTTGCACCTAATAGTAGGGCATCAAAATTTCCAAAGCAAGAAAACACAGAAATCCTCAATAGACTTGCTTTTAAAAACTTATATTCCAGTTAACTGAAGCATACTAATACTTACTGACACTGTAAGTACTGTGAAAGTTGAGTTCTACAAATGTTTGTGACATGAACAAGTACTGAGAACATATGGAAGAAACCACTGGCTCATGTCTTGCCTTGAAGAATCAACTAGAGGGAAGAGAGACTATGGTACAGTCATTCGAGCAGGGATGTTTCTCTGGGAGCTGTGAGGTTGTGAATTAGTGTGGATGGAAGCTGAGCCCTAGCAATGGAGACAGGCAAATCGTGAGAGCTAGTGTTTAGGGGCAGAGAAGGACTGATACGCAGGTTTTGAACCTTAAGATGAGGAGGTTTTTTACTTGAAGGTTAGGAAGAGCAGGTATTTTGTAAGAATTCATCTTTGGACAATACTAAAGATCAGAAAATGCAAACTTGAATATAGATTTTAAAAATGAGTTTCCTAGGAAGAGTGTGAAATGAATATATTTGTACTAAGCAACAAATACAATTTTCTCAACCACAAAGCATATGCAATCAGAAAGTTCATGCTACACTTTTGCTTGATTACACCCTTTTTTTCTTCTCCCTCTGTACTACAAAACACAAAGTTTGCCTAGATAGTCACAGCTCATGCCAAACACTGAATGTCACAGATGGCGTTTCATTAATGACAGTTGGAAACAAATAGTTTCGCAAGAAGATTGTTGTCTTCTTTAAAATGCAACACTACTAGCTATGTAATGTTTTTACATTTCATCAAACAACAATTCAGGGAAAGAAAAACATAAGTAATCATCCCAGGCTATAGTTTTTCCCATTGTTATCTTTTTTTAATGGCTTATTTATTTGTAATGCAGAGTCACAAAGAGGGAGGGATGGAGCCGGGCGGGGAGAGAGAGAGAAACAGGGCTATTTCATCTGTTGCTTCACTCCCCAGAAGGCCACAATGGCTGGACTGAGCCAATCTGAAGATCCAGGAACTTGCAGTGGTCGAATAGACCTCCAACAGCCCTGAACACATTTGGACAAATCATGCTGAGTGAGCATCGAGCGTTCTCAAAGCAGCCAGAGAAGATCTCTACTGGTCCTGACAGAAATGGGCTGTCTTAATGTGTTCTGCTCTCTGCCCCATCCGAACTTGCCGTGTGCTTGGCTCTATCATTCCAAAACT